TTGAAATCCCATATGTTTCATTTTTGTTAAATAATTTCAGTTCACAAAAGAGGCATCGCAGCTGGCCGGGTATTCCTCAATAACTAATCCTGAAATATCGATTTTTGTTTTATTTTGTGTTAGTGTTTGAGGTTTGTGTTCTCAGTGAAAATGTGGCCAACACAATAGTTACACTAGAAAAAAATGATGTTTTTAAGTGATTTGTTGGGGCTTCAGTCTACCTGATATCCACTTAATTACATGTAATAATTTCAGGAACAAGCTTTGTTCTAAAATCTTATCCAGCAAATCTTTGCTTTACAAATTTTAAGTGCATTAATGTCTCAGGTAATAATTATTGAATACAAACCTTGGAAACGCATTTTGTGTCTCAAACAACATTTTTAAAACCAATTTTGGCCCAAGTCAGATTTCCGTATTCGTGATGTCATTTCGTGCAGAAAACTTAAACGCGACATAAAGATTTCAGCACAAAAACTACTAAAATGTTTTCTATGCCCATAATTTCCTACTCTTTGGCGAATAAATAAAGTACATGAGAATTAGCAGTGTAAAGAGCATTTTTTCTTTGAATGTTTTCAGTGAGCAAATTCGCACTTAACAATTTGAACCAAAAACCCCATAAACTTCACAGTGTCTTCTCACTATTATCATCATAGCAACTCAGCGCCCTCTGCAGTTGTCAGAAAAAAAGGGAAATTTTGAAACATTCCATATAGTGCACTTTTCAACGCACTTATCTAAAAATGACTTCAAAACGGTATTCATCAGTTGAGGAGTGTGAGGTTATGCATAAAGTTCGTCTAAATAAATTCCTCGTATTAGCACTTTGACCAAATTTTTCCTCTTTTTGAAGTCTCGACCCTCTCATACAGGTCTTGAAACTTACCGAATTCTTTAGCCAGATATCGCAGGATTGCCTTACTCTGACCAAACATTCTTCCATCCACCTCCAGTACCGGGACTTGCTGAGTTGGATAATCTAAACAACGAATAAAGTGCCTAAGTTTAATTTATATCTTGTAAATTTATACTGTTTACGGTAACTATTTGCTATGGACACATGAAGGAAGTACATGAAGAGTTGATGACTCAGACTTAATGCAAAACAGCTAATAAGACTGGAAGGTTTTCATGGTGAAAGAACTATATGAGTGAAACGATTGCGGTTTAATACACCATGGATCAATCTCTTTCTTGAGTATGTGTGGTGAACTTCTCAGAACCACACATACTCAAGAATTTAAGAAACAGATTGATCCATTGTGTACCCGCAATCGTTTCACTCACAGAAGAGCTAATGCTTTGTATGTGCTTGGTGAAAATAAGACATTGACTGAAAACTCTACCCACAATGGCAACCAGAAATTGACAATGGACTCGGCGTGCTTAGAGCGGCAACAATGAAGACAACGAGACTAGATTATGGAAAGACGGGTGTAACACCGGCATTTACAAAAATTACTGAAGTGTCTTGCACAACATCGGATGAACCCAGCCTAGATGTGAGTGCATGGTTAGGATGTTTAATGTGATGAGAAAGGTGATAGTGGTCATGGCCGCTAATGACGTTAGCTTTAGCTCAACTCACTTGCTTTGTACTTCGGCCATTCCGAAAAATCAAAGTTCACTTCTTCAAAGTCGATCTCAGCTAGCTTGAAAGCAAGACGAATGCTCTCGGCGCGGCCCCGTGCCTTGAAGTAGTGAAGAACGTATTTCACCATGACGATGAACTGTAGGATTCTGCCTCGCTATTGAGCCTGCATATAACCGCTTGCCAGCATGCAATGTTGGGGTTTGAACGGGGCGTTCGGTACTGAGTTTGCATTATTGACTGACATCTAAAAAGGGCTAAGGTTAAAGTTTCACGACCTGGTTACGTGGATTCTTCCATTTTTGTGATTATTTAGCTGATACATTTGTGTCTACAAACAAGGGGGTATCAACCTTTCTGATATGATATTTAGAACTAATCAATGTTACTTAAAATAAACGATAGGAGATGCTGATTTAGATTTTTTTTAAAAATGAGAAAGGACAGAGAGAGGCGGCGGGTATACGTATGGGGGGTCGAAGAACTGTTTTGTTAACCCAGCCGGCCTGGGCTTCAGGAAAAAGATCAGGAAGGAACTGTAGCAAAAATACATTCACAGTCAACCATTGTGGGCATCCGGCGAAGCGTCCTAAGTCAATACAGTGGACCAACACTCTTGTATTGTGAACATGTTTTTGGAATTGTGCACAGTGGCGATGACTTTGCCTTTTGTAGGTGCTTACGTGGGGGCATAGGCCTACTCAGCGAAACGGAGAATAAGGCCTGCTTCAAACGTAGGCCTATAGTGCTTGTGCTGTGTCGAATACAATTCAATTGAGCGCGGCGTAAGCACGGCAGTTATTTCAAACGTCAAACTTAATTCAAAAAGCCCAGTCGGACTGAAACTAGGCAGACCAGCACATTACGAAAACGTGATTTTGCGATCTTTCAGTCTAAGTCACAAAGAAAACGAATTTAGCTTATGCAAGCATTATTAGTCCTTTATTTCTCAGATAAATTGGGGTATTTTTATTTTCAAGGTCCGATGTTATGGTTCCTGGCGATCTTGCAGTGACGTTTCCATAAAATATCACCCAAGTGAACATTTCGATAAGTCCTTTGTCGACATTCGGACGGGAGCTTTAGTTTCAAAGGTCACCTTTGATTTTATCTTAAACTATATCAAGGAGGAATAGGAAAGAGAAATTGTGTAACTGAAACCTACTACCGCCCGAGCTCCGTCCAGCAATCTGCCCCGTGGGTTTCTAGATATTGCTATTTTAGTCGCCATATTTGATGCGTTTGTTCGTTGATTATTTCTCAACTCTACTACACGTTGTAAACATGCGCATTCCTAATTATTAACGACATGTTGGACCAACTTCGAATAGAAATTGTAGTCGACTTGGCATTAGCACGACGTTTGAAACCACTCGGTGCTTCTGCAGTACTTAATGACATAAGCACGGCAGGCCCTGTCGAGCCGAATCCTTCCCGGAAACCCATGACCATTAGGCAATGGAATGTGAAGAAAGAGGCTATATTCAGGACAAAAAATAAAGCGATGATCCATCAAACCTATGGCCTATCATTCATGACACACACCGATCACATGACCTTATCACAGTTCAATATAATTTTTTTAAAAAGTGCATCCTTCTTCAACGGTTATTTTGCAGGTACTCTTTTGAGTTTATTATTTACTTAACAGCGCCGTCTGTTTCCAGAAAAGTATTTACCCTTTAAATGTTTAGAAAAGTGTTCTTTCCATATACAATACACTAAACCCCACGGGATGTCAAATTATTTTCATGCACCGAAGACAAGTATGAAGAAGATTTCATCAAAATAAAACATTTTACGATTACTTGGAGTTTTGAATGGTTGTTCTGAGAATACAACTTAATTAGACAGATTCCATGCCGTTCTTTTAATAGGGCGATGGCTTTCGCTTTGCCAAATAAGCCGCCATGTTTTTATTTGCCTTCACACGATCCAGCAGAGCCTTCAGCTTGGGGTATTTAGCCATGTTGTCTAGTTTTTCTGGAAGGGATGTGAAGTCAAAGCTGGAGAACACATTGATGTCTGCAAGGGAGATCTGAAATCAAGAATGAACAGGAAATGCTTATGAATCAATTCATGAAGAAATATAGGCCAAATCGGCTTATTGCTGCTAATTTACAATTACACGTTTCAAAATTTTAAGTAACTTCCCAAAAGGCTCTCATTTTGGGAACTGGGCTCTACAGTTTCCCATCCCGTATTCTTCGAACACACCACAAAATCCCCTACCTTGTCACCGACAAAGAAACCATCTCCTCCCTTGTTCTTCTTCAGTTGTTCTTCGACATTTGCCAGTATTGTGGGTGCAGTCTCACTCAGGTACTTCTTCAGATTTTCGGCCTAGAAATGGCAACAGTTTTGATTTTTTTAATCAATTAATAATTGGGAAATTTGTAGCAAAGAAATTTGCTAATAATGCAATAACACTCAGTGTGACTGTTAATCACACACAGGAAATATGTCTGCTGATTGTATAGACCTTTATCATGATGCGGCCATCTAGTTCCCTGTATCCCCTTTAGCAATTGTAATACAACTTCAAATATTGATGAAAGAGAACAGAATAGTTTTCCTTCCAGCCTCATAAGTTTGGTTAAGGTGCTATGAATAGTAAAAAAGCAAGATGGCTGCCCCATGACAGGTGTAAGGAAACCACTGGTGGCCACCGATATCGGAACCGGTTGATTTCAATAAGGCGCGTTGACGGCGTAAGTGGTTGACTGACGTGTTGACTGAATTAGCTAGTAGCTCGGCCAGGAGATCAGACTTCCATTTACCAAAGGTGATCGCTCGGTAGATCGGTAAGGGGCGCTTTGTCTTCTGACTTGCAAAATCACTTCGTTCAATGTATTGTTAACGTTTGCTTCCTTATATATTTGCAACTTGCCGCGTTCAATTTCATTTTAGCGTCTCAAGTGGCTCTTTGTTTTATAAAGTGCATCTTTTGGCCTTTACATGCATTTGGGTTGCTTCTGTAACAATTTGTTTCGGTCACCATGTTTGCTTCGTTGTATATTGCTTGCCAGATTTCATGTGTTGTTAATTTCTATATTTTTATTCAAAAAAAATCTGGTAGGGACTTTGGTTTGATATGAGACGCCATTTATGACTTCAGCCAGAAAACAATATTGTGGGCATTTTTTTGAAGACACGAACATTAAATAAAAAAGAAATCCAGCAAGAAATGCTGAGGAAACATTACATTTTGGCTAATTTCTGTTGGCATGTGCACAAAGAATAAACATGAAATTGGCAAACAGAACTGAGGGCATGCAGCGTATGGCTGAAATGAAATAATACACGTATGATTTGGCATGAAACGTTCCATCTTTCAAATGCAGCTCCCTTTTGTAAAATACAATGTACTATGTGATGAAGGAATTTATTCAGATTCATTCCGTTGATACAATGAATTTGATCAGGACTGCATAAAGAAAGGAGTAGTTTGTCCAATGGAAAGAATAACTTCACAGGCTGGAAGATGAAATGTTCCATAAATTTACCTCAAAGGAATGAATCATTCCAGCTGCCAAGTCACAAATTTTTCTATTAAACTATTTCACTTTATCAAAATTTTGTTAAGAGCTTTGAAAGAAACTGGAACCCTTACCTTTTTCTGTTCGTCTTTCTCAAACATGATTTTTTCAGTATACGGTCTCACGAGATCAAACATGAGTTCACCAACTACGTCAATTTGGGCGCTCTCCCAGTTGTTTGCACCGTAGAGCTCTATATTTCAGAAAATACCGAGGAAACAAAAAAGAAAGGTTAGTCGACAGTAAACTGAGCCTGACCCTCTCACTGATTAATGCAGCACGCACAGCAGAAACTCTAGTGAAGGCCCACCAAAATTACGAGCCTACCAAAACTCTTAAAGCCTACGATAAAATCATAGTATGCCATAAAACAAAGGGAAATTTTCTCTGAATTTTTCATTTTGAGGGAAGACAAAAATCCACTTACTCAGGTCTCTCGCAACGTAGTAAGTGATAGCCCTTGTCTGGGCGAGCACTTTACCGTCGACTTCCAAGAAGGGTAACTGACCAAATGGTGTCTCTGTCAACAGAACAATTTTTAGAAAATGCTATGATTTAATCTGTGCTGTTGGAATTCAAGTAATTCACGTTTACGAGGGAAGTGCAAGGAATGGCACCAGTGATTCTTCCCACGACAGAGTGTGGAACATTTGTTAATTTATTTCACGCACTGTTGGCGGGTTGGAAGGGAGAGCAACCGGTTGTCCCCCACCCCCAACCACTCTCGGCCCCGAAAGGGGAAGACCTGTTTTTATTGTTTGAAAAAAAAATCTAAGAAAGACGATTTTGGGGGACCAGCTTTAATTTTCCTTAATTCCATCTAAAAGCCAGTAAAAGCAAACCCAACATTTAGCCTCACTCCCAGAACGGCTACCAAAAAAGTTATATAAAGAAATTTCCAATTTCTTAAAGTCGGTGCTTTGGGCCGAAGCAAATTTTTATGTATTGTTAAACGGGGTTTCCTAAAGGCAAAAGTATTAACTCGGAGACTCCGAGAAAATGACCACAAAGTTTGTAACCCCGATAATGAGCCGCTTTTTGCCGCCAAGGTCATTTCTAGCTGCGCATGCGTTCATAAGTTTGACTTTATAGCATTTTATAATGTACATTATGCTAGCTTTCAGCAGTTTATACATTTTATGTAAATTTACCATGCAGAATCGCCAAATCACAGTTTTATCTTTAAAAAATAAACAAGCAATTATATTCAAATCCAGTAGATGAAATAATAATATTAAATAACGATGTCATATGATTAGGTTCGCAAACGATTGCTATATGATGTACTTAACATAAGTATGATGTGATGACGTTGTTGGGTTATGGGCTCCAGCTTTCAATTCCATCTTTGAAAGCCGCATGGCAACAGGCTCGATACGGACTCCCAATCCATCCCGCGCCGTGTTTGCCAGTGAGCTATTACAATTACATAATCGATCATTGACCCAACATAACCTCCGTAAAATACCAGAATGACACTGCAGAAAAACGGTTTAGCTTTAAACGAGACTCTACAGTATTAGGGAATGCTGAGCGAAAATCTGGTTAAAATAAAAAATTACCACTAAGAAACAAATGCGCACCTGTATGCTTTGTGCGTCATATTATTGCAATTCTACAATTTAAATATGGCATAGCAGTGAACCTATTTCACGGACTTAACCACTCACAAACAAGTTTACCGAAGATCCGAATGCAGCCGCTCTGATATGGCAGAAACTGGCCTTTCTTGTAAAGTGCACTTTACGTTTTGAAACTTATAACGCAGGCAATTATATTGCAGCATTTTCATAATTTTGACGGAAATTTTCAGGCTTCTCGAAAGAACTGCACGTGATTTGGCCCATACAGGTATCTGATTTTCTGTCAATGAAGAAAGATGTAAATTTTTACGAATCATTTCTATAATTCAATATATTGTATTCTTTTATTTACTTTTCTTCGTATACAAGAGCTAGTATGCCTTTTTCTCTCACTTCTGTTGTGGAAATCTGATGTTGAAGCATGCTTCTTAAATTTCCGTCTCTTTAAACTGGTTGAAAATTATAAACCATGAAATTACCGGCAAGTTTCGATGCAGAAGCTAGGTAACCCTCAGACTTTTACCTCCAAGGACATCACTGGTTCGGTAATAAATGTGGAAATGCACACTAGCACCAAAAGCGAAGAGGGGCCCAAATACCATTAAAATGGCTACAGTGTTGATTAACAATATCTGGAACAGAGATTTACAATCAATATTGTGAGGGCCTAAATTTGTTATGGTCACTTACTCGATTTCATGGCCGACCAGTCCGCCTGCTTAATCCGCACATCCTCAAACGGAACACCAGCAACAGTGAAAAGCATCCTGACCGGCTCGGCGCGGCCTTTAATGTCGAAGTAGGTGAGTTTGTAGGAAGGCATGGTGTTGTCGGAGGGCTTCCCAAAACCTGGCGCTGCCTTTCAGGAGGTTTAAATTTAAAAGGTAGGATTCGCTTGTTCCCGTTCCCGAAATGGAATGCGTTGTCACGATGAAGTCCCCTGGTTTTTCTTTGTCCGGTTACGTAATGGCTTGCCCCCTGTTATACATGTCTGCCTACAAATGTGTCTATTCACTATTAATTATGCATTATGCTGATCTGGAGGAGTGAGTTGGCAAAAATTGGGGTTTAAATCATGGAGGAATATATAAGATGGGGAAGATTACAAGTTTCCAAGCCCTCAGCGATTCAAATTACATGAGGAAACTTTAGGCTCCCAGATTCCGTAATCATTCAGTATTATCATGATACTTTCAAAGAATTTATATTGATGACTTACTTAAAAATTTCATTAAGCCTCTCAGGCGCAAGGCGTCAAGGAAGACAGAAAAGTGCTAACAAAAATTTTGGGAAGTAGACTTGTGTCGCATGGAAAACATTACACTGTTTAGTCAGATTTCCAGATGACATATGTAGCGCTGTTCAGAATCATAAAATCATAATTCTTCTCTGTACACCTCCAGTCGCATCATCATCTCTTTTTCCTACGATCTCCTCATTACTTACAAGTCCTCTGCTTGCGTTTGTCGTATGCCAGTGCCACCATTTGAATTCCCAGGGTGGTTCTTTGAAAATTCTCCAAAGACGTATAGATAAGATCAAGGAAACTATTTCTGAAATTCAGCAGTCCGACATCCTAACTGTTAGGAATGTCCACCCCTTTCTTGGTCAGATTGTATCACTGAGTCCAGTCTATGGTAACATAATAACAAGGCTTATGACCAGACATTTCCAGATCCTTGTAGCAATTCAGCAGATGAAGTCACATTGGACAGGGTAAACGAACTTTGACTTTCCGAAATCAATTTTTGGAAAGAAAACAAGTCGAAGCTTGAGATGGATAGTTTGATTGCCTTGGTACAAGGAAGATTTAAAAATTCCTTACTGGGGTCTCCGCAATTCATTGGTTTAGTCTGTGCAATCCACATAGATTGCCAACAAACTTAAACGTCTCATTCTTTCTCTTATTTTCTATCATTAGAAAATTTCCTCTCAGCCATTTTGTAAAACTTTCCCGACAGTCTTCAAGATGTGAACGAGCAAAATTTCAACCATGCTGTACGAGCTAAAGCTCAAGGCACAATAAATAGTTATTTGTACAACTGTAGACAGTTTTTCGAATGGTTAAAACAACTGAATGTAAAAATAAGACTCCCAGTTCAGGATGAACACATTGCTGCATATCTTGTTCACAAGAAAACTTCTGCTAAATTCGACAGTCTAATAACCACAACATCGGCTGCTGCGATAAAATGGATACATTATCTGGTCGATGCGAAACCCAACCCGGTTGACTCACCAATAGTACAGCAGATTATGTTAGCAGCAGACGTCAACTCTACAAACCCACAGTGCAAAAAGAACCCGTCTCTCTTGAAACAGTTAAAAGGGTTGTGGACAAATTGGGTAGTCCGAACAATAAGTTGTTTGACCTCAGAATAGCTTGTTACATATCACTAAAATGTCCCCTGTTTTCAGACATGATGGAATGGCTTTAACTAAAAGCCAATCACATTTCTCAATTGCAGGGTGGAAATGTGTTTTCAGTTTTTTCCCAGGTCCAAAACTGATATTTTTAGACGGTTCAACAACGGTTATCTCTGACACGAACAGTGAGTACTCTCCAGTCTCCATTTTGAAGTTGTTCTTGTTTAAGTGTGACACTAAAATAGGAGATGCTTCCATATTCACAGCACTCTCTTACCGTCCCAAACAGAAAGCGCATGTTCCTTTGAAGAACAGGCCACTAATAGTTACACAAGGTGCAGAGAGCTGTTCTTAGATACATTGAAAGAGGCCCCAAAATATATGGCTTGCACAGTTTAAGGTCAGCTGGAGCATCGCATTTGGCTTACAGAGGTTTCAGAACAGCTAATTATGCTGCGTGGAAGATGAGAAAACGAGCACAGCCAAAAACGGATATGTTAAAACAGATTTGGAAACAATGTTAGAAGTCTCGTCTAATTTGAATAATGACTAAACAATTATTCTTCCGCAAGAGAATTGCTCCATGCTTATGAATAATTAGAAATTTGTAAACTAAATATACGCTCCATCTGAGCTTCTAATTATAGACTAACTATTCTTTAATGTCAACAACACTGACGGGGATCATAAAACGAGTGAAGACTTCCTTTTATGATAATATTATGTTGTACTGCATACACCTCGGTTCCACTTTATTTTATCAAGTGTACATTTGGCAACCTGCTTTAACAATTCTACTTCACAAATCACTCGTACTTACGATCTTTTAATGCGTGTTTGCTTGTCGGTATCAAATCCTACTTCCATAAACTTTCCTGTTTCTTTTTGGAATCGGTTATTGATTAGAGAAAAGAAAACTGGTGCGACAGCTGACGACAAGCGTTCATAATTTGCCTTGTTTCTGCTAGCAAATTTAAATGCCTTTTTTTACTTTCTTGAACTCACGCTTGTTGTGAAAATGAAAAAGAGCGACGGGTGTCAGTCAATTCAGTCTTTTCAATGGATCTAAAGACGTATTATAACTTTGAGAAAAACTTGGTTGTCAGTGGAGTTCTACATAATTTAAACTTAAAATTTATGTTATCTTTTTCGTTTCAGGTATTATGTCCCCAATCTGTGCGTCTGCTTCCTTGCATTTCCCCAACTCGCTCGAGAATTGTCTGTTTGCCCCTGTATAATAATTGTTTGTACGAATTTATGCGTTTTTAAACAGAGATGGCACGTGACCTTAATTGACGTAGATGTAATGCAGGTATTTTTTTCAAAATCAGAACTCTGTGGATTTGCGCTGGGCGAGGTAAGCTGCAATTTTCTCGTCGGAAGCTACACGGGCCTGCCACGCCTTCAGCTTGGGGTACTTGTCTAGTATTGTGGCATTGTCTCCCTTCACACAGTATTCGAACGCATTGAAAACGCTGATGTCTGCTAAGCTGATCTGCCAGTGGAAAGAAATTCAAATAAATATTCATTATGAGTTCCCCGCCACAGTTCTATAATTCTTGAGCTGTGAACATGCGCCAATTGGACACCTCAGTTCTGAATGATCAACATCTCTTATCCACAAGGTAGAAAACTCACAACTTTACTCACTCCACTTGAGTGAATGCACTCACTTGTCTGTCCAATAGATACAGTAGTGACAAATGATAAGAAATATTCACCAGCTTAGTAAATAAACCATGCACTCCAGACAAACATTCTTTCCCAGTCCCACCTTGTCACCGACGAAGAAGCCATCTCCACCATTGTTCTTAGCCAACGACCCCTCCAACCTCTCCAGACCAACAGGCAGGGCTTCATCGTACTTCTTTTTAAGTTCAGCCTTTAACCATGAAATGAATTGTGAAAAATAGACATAATGGTCTATTTGCTTAAAGCATATTTACCCTAAATTTAACTCTTGTGAAGGTAAAACATGAATTTATATAAACTTCATCAGTTACAAAAGTCTTTTTCTGACTTAAAGCTTTCGAGTGTTCCAACATAAGGCCTGAAAGGCTGGTTCTTAGAGGCGAACATGAAAGCAAGGCGAATATGATGGCATGTAAAATGCAAAATCTCGCATTTGTTCAATTTTTGCCAATTCGTACCGCAAACATTTGATCTGCCCCCTAATTTGCGTTTGTGTTCGCTTTTGCATTATCATGGGCCGGCCTTTATGCAGGTAAACAGGTAGGCCCCCCTAATTAAGTCTTCAGGGTGGGATATAATGAGAAAGGGAGCCTAGGGGCGTAGCTAGCGGTTTCCGGGGAGGGATTGCAAAATGAGGAATCTTTTTCTGGAAACATACCCCATCAATTCATCGGAAAAAGATTTAAAACTTGATTGGAAAGGGGGGGGGACTGGCAAATGGTCGCAGGGAATGGACACATTGCCCTTGCGTCCTGGATTACGTCATTTGGTCGGGGGCCTCAAAATTTACCACTTATACTGACGAAAAAACTTGAATCACAAATATACCAGCGACTCTCTTCGTTTGCAATTCATTTCCTCGATAATAAAATTCAACCAATCTGTCTCCGACAGATTTGTTGTAATTGTGAATAATGATCCGTGTGGTATGTGGAATGGTGTCTCACCTTTCTCGCTTCGTCTTTTTCGAACATGAATTCGCCAAAGGGCTTCATCATGTCGAACACTAGCTCGCCAACAACGTCGATGGCGGCGCCCTCCCAGTTACTGGCACCGTATAGGTCTGCAAGGAGCAGAGACACGCAATAAAGAATATGTTTTCTATTATCCAGATTCCTGACATGATCTGATACAAGCTGTACGGCTCTAACAAATGCACGTACATTGTACAGTGTAGTTCATATCCTTAGTCACAATACCGTACGCTTTAAAACATTGGGTTTGTACATGGTTATGTATTTTAGGACTGACAAAAACAGATTGCAAAGCTTATAGATTGGATGATTCCATATAAAGCGAAGATGGAACGAATTGAAGCTATAGCAGTGACACTTACTGAATTCTTTTGCCAGATAGTAGTTTATGGCCCTAGACTCTGGAAGTACTTTGCCGTCAACTTCAAGCAATGGGAGACGTCCAAACGGTGTTGCTGTCAAGAGAGACCATTCGAAAGATTTCGTTAAATAATTCGCACAATAAACGCGGTTATTTGCTTAGAGTATGCTTTCACTGTCCCATACAAGTATTTTCAGACAAAAGGGTTTCAGTGGTGGAGGTTTTTAAATCAATAATTCGCTGATCAATTTCCCTTCGAAATTAAAAAATAGCTCGTGGTGCAACTTCACTTAATATTTCGCTCAAGGTTGTTCACAGAACCTGCTTGCTACTTTCTGGAGGGAAGAAAATCCATAAAGTTAGTTTTTATTTTCACACGGTTAAGCAATAATTTTCGGTCGCATCATTAATGGCCCCTAAAGAAAAAATACTTTTATCGTTTTTTTCAGTTTACTACAAACTTTCTTCCAGTAACCAAAACCTTATTGGAGCCAAAACTCGGGGGACGATTTAAGCTGTCGCACTCTGTCTCCATGGATACAGCGTTCAGCGCCAGTGGGATGTTTGTTGGGATGCATGGCTAATAAGCCGATATTTCCTTGCTGGCAAAAGTAAGAAATAATCGCCACGTTGACTTGAAAGGGAAGAGTTTGCGCATTCATTGCGATTACACAACTGTTTGTTTGCTCTTTAAACACTTGAGAACGTGGCGAAACCTTATGGGTGCAGCTGTAGTCTGGCCGCGGGGCACGCAGCTGTATAAAAAAAGAACACTGGATTGGCCATGGAGATATTAAAAGCATGATTTGCATGAGAGAAACAGAGCATGCGCAAAAAAACTAAAGATTGGGGTGAGAATGGGGCTGAAAACCTGGTGATCTGGGTTCATGCACGCTTGCAGTGACATATGGTGATTGTCTGGGAGTAAGAGATTTATACCGCAACATTTATTTCAGCTACACCCCCTCTATCTCGTGAATCATTTCTCCCAACACGTGTTATTTCAAAACAACGTTTACCTTCAAAACTTGTGCACCCATAATAATACAGCTTATCCCATCTGCACATAAATCCTTACGGTCAACTTAATACGGTCATATCCCATTCCGTTTATTGTTCTTTGTGTGTGGTTGGGAGTATTCCGGTGTAGAAGAATTTTGAAGTTTTCTCTTCAAATGTCTGTCGACTCAATGACGCATTAAGGACTTCTGTCTCTAAACTGTTCCAGCTCTCGCATAGTTAGTTCCGGGTGAGATCTCCCATCAATTAAAAAAGTCTATCAAAGATGTTGACTCTTAAAATACCCGTGTGTAACTTACCTCGAGCAACTCAAGCCTTAATGCTCATGTCATCTGGAAATTCACGATTTTCAGATACCAAACAGGAAGGGCTTCACTATACACAAGTGCATGAGTAACTCACCTCAAAAGATGGGCTTCATCAACAATCTCAAAAAGGGCAGTGACGGATAGTGGTCAAACTCGGTCTTTTTAGTGACTGGGCCAATTTTTGAAAATGTTTCCATTTTCTTTGGACTCCATGTGCTTTTCAATCCAGACTTACTTGGCTTGATTGCTGGCCATTCCTTTTGCTGGAGTCTGACGTCTTCAAATTCCTGCCCGGCGATCACAAACAGCATACGGGCTGATTCTGCTAGGCCACGGATGTCAAAGTAGGTGAGCTTGTACTTGGGCATGATGAAAAAGACGTAACTTGGGCTTGGCGGAAGGAAGGGACCTGTTGCACACTGATTGCAACATGAAATGTGCTCCCCAGTCTTGAAATTCAGAAGTGTTGAGCCGCTCCCTTTTTTGGTCACGTGATGTTATTTAGTATACATGTATATTTACACGCGCACTGCTCCACCCACGTAAAGCATTTGCTTGTTTGCTCTGGGATTATATCATTGATTATGCGAAGGCTAGTTGGGCTCATTTGTGAGTGTTAAGAAAGGCAGCTGAAGCCAGCGCCATGCAGTAAGCCGGCTGGTTCAAACATGATGGAGCTCTAACCAAACAACTTGTCCCTTTTTTTCCTACAGTTTGTGTGTAGGGTATGTTTTAGCACGGGACCTGCACCTTATCTTCCAATATCAGTAGTGATTTCCATCCGAAATTTCAAACCGAGCATGTGATCAGCGTGCCACCTGGCCACTCTCCTAGCTCAGCACCCGCGCGTATGTTCATCTAGCACTGCCGGTGTATCAGTTTTAGTTAATACGTGGAATAGAATGGGGCGGTGCATGACAGGGGTAGCCATAATCCGGTCTGTGTTCCTTCCTCCATGCTGCTACCAACGGCTTCGAATTTTGATCAAAAGAGGCAGCGATGAAGAGCCGTACTAGCCAGTTGTTCGATACTTGTGCATGCCATAGTCTCATGTGGAGACGCCGCACTGCTGTTGCCAACATGGAGTGCAACATAAAGTGTTAAAAATATTTCTTTTAAGGGTTTTCCTGAAGATATACCCCACATATATATTTACAATGGACGTTTGTAATCGAACATGCATGATAAAGGAGTGCAAACGTTTTTTAAAGAGATATGGAGCCATTTCATGCAACATCGTCATTAGGAGCGACTATCGATCCTTGACATATCATAAACTGATTTTTTATCGACATCATTAAACCTTACCACATTCTACACTATTCGAATATCAACTGGACTTTCGGTTTGGCAATGAATTACTGTGACAGAATAAAATCACAGCAAACCTGATTTTTAAGTTCGTGAATCTGGCTTTAAGAAATTTTTGCAAGATAATGACTTTCAGGATGGCGGTTTAGTTCAACACTGGCTCCATATTTATGTGTTTCATATTCTTGTGAAAACCCTGGTTGCCAGAATATCATGATTTTTTTTAAAACGAAGACAGGAAATAAACGAATATTCACTGCTCGAAAACTCTACTGCATATTTGATTACGTAAGATTATTAACTAATGAAATAATCCATCCAACGTCTCGTTTCCATCACAAAAGCTCACCGGCGTTCCAGTGTACGATCCTAAACAGTAGACCTTTTTACTAATAAACGCATGTACGCATGTGCACAAATGACCTTCATGGCGGCAAGAAGTGTGAGCGGGCCATTGAAAATGTACTGAGTGTGACTTCGATGATCATTTTCTCTCAGGTATTCTGACTTATTTCAGTTTTTTCTTCTGAAAATCCCATTAAATCGTTTTTGCTCTTAGTTTGTAACATATCCTTGTTTTTTCTCCTGTCTGTACTGTGCCTCTCCTTCATCTAGTACTGCGCATGCGCTGACTGTACGGCGTGTAAAGCTTGACTTTTTTGATGATTTTCCTTGGACTCTCACAATCTCTCCGGTAAGCTAGCGTTCCTGTGTATTGCAGCCGGTGTCAAAGTAGGCTTGAATCTAGTCGGACTTATCCTGCTCTTCCCAGTCAGCCATCCCTTCAATTCGCTCTTTGCACGCTGCAGCCACGAAGAAAAGTCTACAGCCAGTCCGCGTCATTTTCGAATTCTACACGACTGGTGAAAGGACCATCAATTTCATTTACAAACACGCCCTCTTTTGTTCCGCGCGGATAGACTCGTTCATTATAATACAGGTATGAGCGATGGAAAAAGAAGTCCGGCAATATGACTGCCTGCTGCCACTTGGTGATGAGCTCATTTGCTGTGTACAAACAGTTGGCAGATTAGTCTAGACTGGCTCCCGTCCCGTTACGTAGTCTCCAGACGTCTTACAAACGTCTTCTGAACGTATGGCAAGGAAGGTGTAATTATCATATATGGGCGTGGTTAACTGCATGCTCGATCAATTTAGTGGACAGTAAGAAACTTAAGCGCTAAGGTAAATGTCGGCCTTTACTTTCCTATTATAAAAACATCCTCCAACCAACTAATTCCCCACCAAGAAAAAATACTACACGTAGCCTATAACCCTCAGCTTGTAGGTTCTAAATATAACGCTCTTTTAACAGAGCTACCATGCGAATCGGCCAAAAACGCAATTTTATTATGCCTTATTCTTAAAAGGTTGTGCACCCCATCATCGATAATTGTCCCCTACCTTCCTAAACGAAAAACGCATGGGCAACGGATACGCTCATTTTATTACACTTACCCCTAACCTTCCAAGGAAAACAATTACGCCGTAGGGACCGGTAGCGGGCAATGAATCCGACAGAATCCTGCCGGGTGTATGTAAATGAGGAAACATGGCAGCTCAATGTAGCGTTCAAGCAGAAGCTGATGGCATATTTTGCTTTTTCCTCTTCGTTACTGATATCGATATGTCCATATTTTTTCATAGTTAAACAGATATCATCCCAACACATTGAGTGTAAATTTGCTATTTCCAGACGGACTGAAATGGTATTGAAATGAAGAGAAATGAAGAGAGGTCATTAATTTCAAAATTTCACAACGTGGAGTTATTATTTATATCTCACGGCGATTATTACAACATTGCCCTCACATTTCACACCAGTTTCAGTTCAGGGATGAGTGTATTTGGTTCAGAACGTATTGCACTTCTTTTGCTGCCTTAAAACCACTCTATGAAGGCAGGAAAATGCAAACAAGCAAATTGATTCGTTGCCGTAAATCATAATTAATCCCTCGATGTTCATTTGGAAAAGAAAATTGATATTTTGAAAAAGCACAGCACAGCTTTAAATGGACCAGGTAATGGAAACATTTTACTAAAATCCTTGAAAAAATGCACCGTGGTGTTTTAATTAACCTCATTTGCAATTTTGGATCTATTTTATCTGTATTTTGGGATCTCCTTGGTTTTTATGCCAATATGAAATGGCACATTCATGAGAAAAAATGTGGTGTAATCCGAGGCACCGAACCTCAATTATCGCATTGATATTTTGTGTATAAAAGCATTGCTAGATTTTTACGCGTAGCTGTCAAAAAATTTGTTTCCTATGTATATTGCAAATAAGTCAAAAACTAACCTTTTCTCGGGAACGTTTTCAAAAAGCAAATTTAGGGTTCAAAATTTGAACATGAAAACATACCTACTGGACAGTGTTTTCCCATCACTGATTACACTAACAGCGCCCTCACTTGTTTAGAAAAGGTTGGTCCATTTAGAATGTTGAAAAAACAAAGGCCCCTAAGTGAACTGCTACTCCGAACAAATTTCCGTTTTCATGCATTAAAGAAAAGTTTAAGCATACACAAAAGGTGATTCCAAGCAAAATTCATGGCATTGTTCCTTTAATAATGACTGAGTCCACAAATGCTTTCTCATCAGTTAAGAAACCAACCAAGAAGACTCCAGTCACACAAAACCTTATTTTTTGTCTCAATTTTATAGAAATCTCTACCATGCCCCTTGACAAAAGTAATTTTTTTTTTCAAAATAGCTTGAATTAAAGTTTGGCTTTAAGGGGTTACTCTGTTGCCATAGTCAACTAAAGTTTTAAGTTAATTATAAAATAAACACATTCAGAAACTGATGAGCGGTCTCACAAAAGTAGCACTTTAAACTTTAAAACTTCATTTTACAAGAATAAAAGAATCAGGAACTCTGAATTATTGAAATATACATCTTCAAAATGAATAATTCTACATTCACTTGTAAGAATAAAGTTCTACGTTTGTAACAGTTTGGATTATCGTTTTACATTGGAAACAAAATCTCAATTGAGTTATGAATCTTTGATTCAATATTCAAATCAACCTATAAGACAAGACCGTCAAAAAGAGAGCTCCATTTTACATGATAGTTTGCGATGTTTTGACCTCAAAGTGAATGTGCACACTGAGATCAACAAAAGCAGTTTCATCTTCCCAAAGTGTGCACATAATTTACAGCCTTCACTTCTGCAATTATGTCAGTAAGCATTGATGCTGACACAAGGCCAGTTCATACTTCAGGCGAAAATGATCAGCAAGACAAATTTGACGTCACAAAACTTTTGCAGCATTATGCTCAAGGTGAAAGGTGTTCAATTTCTCCAAAGTCGCAGCATGAACACTGGATTTTGATATCACAAAATCAGTATGAACCAGCCTACAGGGGGGCAAATTGTTTGAGGTAATTGCTGATCCAATATCACTATGGAGTGCCCAATGTGTACAATAATGGCAAAGATTGCTTCTAAAGCCAAAAAGACCAAATTGAGATCCAAAGGCCTCGTTGAGTATTAACAAGACACCTGAACAGCACATTCAAATGAAAACATTTAGAACACATATTTCAAATGTAGATTTCCCAGTTGAATATCATTAACCTGACTCAGACATTTATATTTTCAGACTGATTCAGTCTTCTAAAAGTATTGATGTATCAAGGATTAAATCTAAATACTAAGAATCGAACAAACTTGACTTTCTTGATTAAATCTATGTACATTTAAAATTTCTTTACAATAAAAAAGATTGACAATACCTGACTTACTGCTATTCATAAACGACGTCCAATCTTGGATAGTCTTTCATTAGTAAGACCACTGATAATGACACATTGACTCAAACCTCATGACTCAAATCCACACCCTTGATTTGATGGCATACTTAAACCCAGAATGTCCCAGGCAAGTGCCTGGTGGATTTTCTTGCTTTATGAGGATATCACACCTCTTGCTAGAGAACAAACCTAGACTTGATTCAAGACCATCCAGCAGATAGCACTGCTGAAGAGATTACAACGATGTGGACCTTAATTTTGACCTGAGACAATCACCTCAGTTGTTGTCCATCACAGTTTCCTATCAATGAATTGGGGATAAGCAAACTGGATCTATATGTATCTTGCATCAAGGCTCATATTTCATTGACTGTTTCAAGGCTCAATTAGCAGCACCTCCAGAATCATGATGTATTACTTTGCCAAGTTACAAAAATTCCACATCAATACTTCTTGGAACAGTGTGATAAAACCATTTTACACATTCTTTATTGTATCTGGGACTGCATATTTTGGGTATTGTATCAAAAGAGGGTCCTATCCAAAGTTATGTGCCTAGTCAATGGGTTCTCAGCCCAGTAAGTGAAAACTGGGCTTTCCATTAGGAACAGTGTTGTACCAGGCAGTGCTGTAATGTTAATCTATTGCACAGCACTTCACTTCAGCCCAGCACAACTGCAAAGGTCATGTCATCAACAGGTCAACTGCTAAACCAGTGCGTGGTATCTATGAATACAATTAGTTTTGACCAAAGATCGTATAGCGCCGCAAACGGCGCAAGATGGCGAACTTCACCGTAAATACACGTAAAACGTTGTAATTGCATAGGCGCCATTTGAGCAAGCGGTACGCCTGCGCAATGCACATTAATGCAAAGGCGCAGGTGCCGCGGAAGGCATGTGCACCAAGTGAGCCTGCGCCCAAGCATTACCGTAAACTGCGCAGGTGTATCGCTTGCTCAAATGGCGCCCATGGTAATTACATCTTTTGGGTAGAGTTATCCATCTTGCGCCTTCGGTGCTATACGATCTTTGGTTCTGACATTCAAAATCTTGCTGAGCTTTTGAAACTGGCACCTCTTTAAAATTCTGTCTTGGGGCGAGTCTCTATCCACTTGGCAATGTTCGGTCGTTCCATGACCCGGTTGCGGTGAGCAGCTAGCGCTGGGAAGTTGTCCATGCCCTTATCATTGCTTTTCAGGTACCAGTCACCAGCAATCAACATGCAGAAATCAGCCAAGGACATCTATGAAAGAGTAAACAGCATGTTAGGGGGAAACTTGCATGTTTTGCCAACTTTGTAGAGCTTTACTGGCACTGTTTTTGCCCCTCTTGTTTTTTTGGAGGGGGGGGAAGAGTGCTTCAACAAACCATGCTGATACCATTTAGTGAATCAATGGGTAAGGACTTAGTTGTACATGTATTATTTTGTCAGTCATGTCTGGTGTTAAAAGCTCAAATAACTGAAAAAGCCAAATGGCATTGCTGTTAACACTGAAGCAATTTCCGTTAAGGAATGTTCAATTTGAGACAAATGACGAAACTTTGTCCCCTGTTCCAGGGAAACCAGCAGAATACAGTAGGGACTTTGAACTCAACTAGGATGTGGGCCCAGGTGGGATTGGAACCTGGTTATTAGAGGTGGAAGGTACATGTACGTTGAGTGTACCAGAGCATCAGTATGACTTTGCTGCTCCCATCAAGAAAACTTGGGAAATGAATTTTCCAAATATTGTCTGGATAAACAGGAAGACGATCAGCGAAACCATTAGCTCAAATCAATTAAGCCTCAATGAAAATACAATAATCAAGGAAATGGTCACACTTTTTCCAAGTTGAGAGTTTCCTCATTTTGCAATAAATGTCATCAATGGGCACACAGGCAGAGAAAAAAATGCACCTTGAGATTTTGCAAGGGGGGTCATTCCAAAACAGTATTGGCGGCAGTTTCGTATAAGAAAACCCAGGGCTTCTTGACAAGACGTACCTTGTTTCCGACAAAGTATTCCTGATCTCCAAGAAGCTTTCCAAGGCGCTTCAAACCAGCCGGCCCCTGGCCCTCTTCAGAGTAATATTCATCCTTTTTCTTGGCCTGAGAAAAAAAACACAGAGGAACGACAAGAAGATGAAGATCAAATCTGAAACCCTTTTATTTTTTACCACTAACGTTTAGCCTACGTTATTAATGCCACACAGACTGAATTGGTGGCTACAGAGAGGTAATGTACCTCATGTGCAGAGCTGTAGATCTTCAGTGTGTCAGTCACAAGTCAGTCCACAAGTCAACTCACGACTTATTTCCCAAGTCATTTCACAAGTCAGCGTGGAACTGGTGAGATGAACAATAACAAAGGAATGCCTTTGTCACAGTTAATTTAAATAGCTTTAGAGTTGACTTGTGGCTGAATGACTTGTGGCAGACTTGTGGTGACTTGTGACAGACTTGTGGTGACTTGCAGTGACTTGTGACTGACTTGTGGTGACTTGCAGTGACTTGTGACTGACTTGTGGTGACTTGTGACAGACTTGTGACTGACTTGCAGTGACTTGCACTGACTTGTGGTGACTTGCAGTGACTTGTGACTGACTTGTGGTGACTTGCAGTGACTTGTGACTGACTCGATTACAACTCTGCTCATGTGTCTCAAAATCTCCTATTGTCTCCCCCCCATCAGCATATTTACAACTTGCCAAAACATACATGTAGCTCAAAGTTAAACATTTTACTATACATGTACAAAAACTTGGAACCACCTCGATAATGGTAAAATGTGGTCAAACGCTGAATGAAATTACAAAAAAATTGAAAACAGGAAAACAACATTTGACTACAAGTGGAGGTAACTCTAACCTTGGTCAGTCTCATCCATTATGCAGGAAACCACTGTGCCATATGCAAACCAATTCTTTGTAAATCAACTTTCGAGAAGCACCAAGTACTGAATACAGCCTGCACTCTACTGTGCTGGATCTTGCCAAATTCTCCAAAAACCTTTGAGTGGATTTGGGAAGATACAGGACAAGTTAGGGTTAAGACAGCAATTCAGAATTAATGTCTTTCATCTTGCCTTGAGTGCCTCGTCTGGTTCCACCAAGAACCGCCTCAGTCCCTGCAACAGGTCATCAATGGTTTCAGTCACAACATCAATGCATGCTGCCTCATAGTTTGTGGAGCCATAGAAATCTGCACAAGAAAATCAGTGCTCATGGTTGAACCAAGTTAACGAAAGGTGGAAAAAGAGGAGAAAGTGAACTGTCAATTTAGGCACTAAACTGAGCCATCCCCTCCCAAAGCCTCCAAACAAAAATGTCAGATTTGAAGATGGCAAAGCCTGAGTAAGGCCAACACACAGACATGAAGTACTGTACATGCTAACGCAAGGGTTACTGAAGGAAAGAACATGGTCTAGTACATGTATCAGCTGGTGCACATGGCCAGCCACTTGCGAGTTAAATTTCAATAAAATCTGGTACCCTGTGTTATCTGATTGCATAGATAGAAACGTAACAATTTGAATTCCCCAGACTAAAGACACTGTTGCTATACCTCGTGATCTGGGGCAAGCTTTTGCATAGCGACCACCATCTCTGGATTTGACTGGTTCCTTTGTGCCCTTCATATCCATTGAGAACAGTGTACTGTTGCAAGGCGTCTCTTATGTAACTAAGGAAAAGCTTGCCCCGAATCACGAGGTATAGCAACAGTGGCTTTAGTATGGAGAATTCCAATTGTTACGTTCACGTGAATTTAAAGAACTCGGTGTACCAGATTTTATTCAAATTTAACTCGCAAAAGGCTTATTTACTGGGGCAAAGTTTGATTGATTTTGAGGGAATGTGTACTGTTTTGCCAAGGAAACACCTACGTACCAAACTCCCGAGCCAGGTAGCGGCTGAAGGCTTTACTCTGTGGGATACACAGATCATCCACCTGAAGCATTGGCAGCTGACCAAGAGGTGTAGCTACAAAATAAAACAATTAAAACTGTATAAGATTTGATACCAGGATTCCTGATGAGGCATACAAGGTTAATCAATGTTTACTCACCCGAACATCAAATCCCAATTAACAAATCATGCTTTAAATCCATCATTCCTACATTATGTCCATGTCATTGGCACATGTTTGTGCCACGGAAGCTGAGCCTCTGGTTAACAGTGGCCCTACAGTGCAGGTACACATTGGAAATTGGTCACCAACAGTTGGCCCAGCCCAACTGCAGTGCAGTCAACAATAGTTGGGCCAGCCCAACTGCAGCATTACAGTTGGGACTGTCCCAATGTAGTTGGGGCATAACAATGATAAGAGTTGTATTCATTTCAAGCAACATCAAAGTACATGGAAGTAAATATCTTTTAAGCTGGAATGTACTTTATTTCCTGGGCCTGAGAAGGATTCTTCTTGGCATTGCTACTGTGCCAAGTAGCATGCCTGAATAGGTTGATAAGTCAAACTGTATCCAAGCCAAAATTTGCCACCATGCACTACGAGTACTAATTTTAAAAGTCATAACATTCCTTCTGTGTGACTGATGATGAAACACAGAAAGAGTTCCATAAACAAGATATTGCCCCCCGCGTAGGGGGAGGCACATGCCCCCCCCATTCCTGGTGACCCCCCAGGTGCCCCCCACTGAAACAAAAATGGATGAATGGCTACTGAATAAGACTAACAAAACTTTGCCCCCATTTAACCACACCACTGAAAGTTTGTGCCCCCTTTGTGCCCCCTACTAGTAAAATCCTAGCTACGCCACGGCCTGTAAGACAGGTCATGCTAGTATTTTTAATTATTTTTAAGTAAAAGATTCAATTTTTTCCCTAGACCAACCAACTTGGACATTTTAGGGCGTTATCACTTTCTGATGGCTAATGTGCCACTTTAGGGGAAAATTAATGATATAGAACGCTTACTGATTTGCCAGTCACGCCAGCAGAACAAAAATATTCTTTGCTTTTTATGAGAGCTGCATTTTCCAGAACGCTACCTTGAAGCTAACACTATAGGAAGCCCTGGGATCTAGCCTGTCTACGCAGATTGGGGAGGGGGGAAGAAGTGGACTGGTGCCAGTGGTAGGTGGAAGTCTAGGCCTTCTTGGGGTTTAAGTGATATTGTTTTAAATTCTGCATCTATGGCAGCAATAACATGTTCCTGGGGTATGATCACTTCTGATTTCTTTTTCCCTACAGTCAGGACAGTGATCTGTTAGCCATTTGAAAGCACTAGGAATGTCCCGAGATGTAAAAAGCGGTGAAAACATTGAGGTAGCCTACGCACTTAGAAAATGCTTAGAATTTTTCAGACCAGTCTCGTGGTCATAGGGTTCATGCATGTAGGGTATCAAACGGTGTCAAGGCTACTTGTACTTGTAGACCCTACATGGAATTCGTTCCCGCAAATCTCCCCACCACGGCCACGCACATGCATCATCCAAGAGGAGTGCTTGCTGGAGGCACAATTCTACACAACGAGTTGGCCTGTTGGTGGGTTATTATGCAATTACCCCCTACATAATGACTGGCACGTGGATAAAGATGCAAAACCTCACTTTGTTTTAAATCCGCCCACTCATCTCGTTCAATGCGAACGTCTTCATACTCGACTCCTTTCTCTGCGAACATCAGCCGCGCCAATTCGGCCAAACCTCTCGCATTGAAGTATGTCAGTTTGTACGTCGGCATACTTTCAGTTTCAGCCGACCCTTTCGCAGACAATGAAACGGAATCACTCAGCGGTCCCGGAACTTCGTTCAAAAAGAAAGCACAAACCGTCAAAAGTTCCCGACGATTTCCAACAACGCTCAGCGTACACGACAGGGCCGGTATTACAACTTGTACAAACTACATGTATCGATACGTATGTACTACGTGCAGGTCGTGCTAGTGTCCGAAACGGTTTTTTTTTTCAGAGCTACGGCTACGTCTACAGTCATCCAGCGTATATATACACGTACAGTACTTGTGAAGGGCGAGGACCTTGGCCTGAATGTAGCACACTTAATTTGGATGCGACTTCACACCTCTTGCTGCACAATGTACATGTACAATGTACATGTAGATGTATGCATGCACATTGCACTGTATACGCCATACCACATGTACGTGTACATGTACATGTATGTAGTACGTACGCATAGTGCACGTTCGTCAAGTGGTTACCAGTTGAGCGAAGGGCACCCAATTAAAAATCTAGAGATGTTTCCAGTCTGACGAACACTCATTACCTTTGGTGTTAACGTTAGAAGGGCGGATAACTAGCACCGTCACAGGCTGCGGAACGATTTTCAAAGTGTGAAGGGGCCCGTTGTGAGTTGAGACCACCATGCATCAACCATTATTCATATGCCGGTTCATTTAGCCCCGCCCCAGTCGAAAGAGTGGGTGAAAGGCCCTTCCACCCCCTCTGCCACAAGTATGCGAGAGTTTCACCTCATCTTGTCCACGGAGCCTACAAAGCCTACAGAGATCTATCGAAAAAAAATTAAGGGTCTCCGAAAATAGGCCTGCACCAAACAACAGGTTGCCCCTGAGTCAACGCACTTTTTGCTCTCCTTCCTCTCAGACATCAGCTTCACTACCCTGAAATGCTGCATGTAGTGACATTTTGGCAAGGTCGGATACATAGTGTTGACATTTCTTCTCCTGCGGTTAAGAAAACTTGGGGGGGGGACTCCTTTATCTCCAACTACCGTAACGATAACTCCGAGCAGTATTTCTCAGCCACGATTTCCTGGACAGTTCCTGTTCATCAGTTGTGCCAAAATAATCCACACTGACCCCAAAATGCCTCTGAAGCTGTCTTCAAGAGAGGCATGGATTGTACAGACGTCATGGACCAGGAAGTCCCGGTATATGCCCCGCTTGCGCGTGAACACATTCCTTTATTCTCCTACAGTTAGGAAGGGGAGTGGAAGATGCTTCCTTTTTCTTCCAGGATGATGATTCCTCCGATCATCTCTCGGACCATCCCTCTTCATTTGCCACAGATAATTCTGACCACATTGTGAAGTGGTTTCAAAAAAGGGGAAACGTGATTTTGAAGTATGGTGTTTGAAGTAGTATGCTAAGGTTTTCGGTTAAGTGCGGGAGGGGATATTCAATTTAAGGTCGTAAAAGGCTCAGAAATTAACCCATTTATGCCCACCCCGCCCTCCGGAAAACATGACCCCTTGAAAAAAAAATAGGTTGTGGCTAGCTGGACTCGCCCTTTAAAGCCCTCATGCTCGGTGGCGTTTTCCGAAAGGTGTCATTTTACAATTATGGTCAACGGGGGATAGAAGTCAGTAGAGAATGACATGCAGAAACCACACAGGGAGCAGCTTCAAAGCTGCGGCGCCCATCGGTAATGTTCGACACTCGATAGTGCCATGGTCTCATTTTCCCCTCTGCATGCAATGAGCTTCGGTTTAGAAGTTGAATTAACTCAGCTCATGCATCATCAATGACAAACACACAGCAAACGGGCGTCAAGCACTGAATCTCCGGGGGAAATGTGCTAATTTATTTCTTCAATAACACTTCTGTGTTAAATAATTTAGCCATTACCAAAGTAGCGACGCTACTACAGATAAACATATCTACTTTGCATTGATCAACTTTAAATATTAAACATGTAGTTTTGACATGAACAATTATCAGGGAAGATTTTTTTTGGGGGGGGCAGCTACATCCACATTTTTTGTCACAGATGTATATAATAGGCTGTGTAACAAAATTATCTGCTGGGCCGGCAGCAGCACTCTCGTAAAATATCAATTGGTCACTCATTTGTCACGTGCCCTGGGCAAGATAATAAACTCAAGACGAAGGGAGGCTTGAGCAGACGACCGCCTTTTTACCACAATTACACAAACCAGTCATCAGTCAACATGCCGATTGACAAGCTAGGAGGATAAGTTCTTGCATTCTTAACCCTAACAGTCCTCAATCCGGTTGGAGGACTGAGGACTGTTAGGGTTACGGAATGGCTGCATAAGTAGATATCACTTTTCTCCAGGGAACTTTTTTTTCATTACGTGCTTGGAAAACCAGAATTCTAAAATTCATTCTATTTCTAACGCTGACTGGCGAAGGATGATTTATTGGCCCTAATCCACCACATTGAGCGCCAGAAGATTCTGTTTTTTTCTTGAAATAAAAACAGCTATTTTCCTGACACGAGTCATTATGAGGGGTTCCCAACAAAACCGGGAAATTTTTCTCAAATCAAGCACAAAAATCTTGTTGAATTATTTCATTATCATGGGTGTCGACTGCTTCTCAAAGGTGGGGGGTTAAAAAATGACCAGCCCACCTCTGAGCCTGAGTGGCAGAATCAAGTAAAAGGTCTGCGCAAAGAACTTTTAAACGCACTTTTGATGCATCTTCATACACTTCTACACTGTTTAAAATCTATTTGAATCCTTTGGGGTTCAAGGTGGGAAAAAATGCACTTTTGTCAACATTTAAATTCGTTGATGCTTCTATGGACAAATGAGGATGCCGTTGTTGTGATACCAATCAAGGAGGAAACTGTTCAGTTCCTGTGTTTTTCTGTTCAGACTGTGCACCCCAAATTTGCTAAATAAAAAAAAGAAATTCTACGAGAGAGGGTTGTTGGTTAGCTTGCTGCAATAAGCTTACACAACAATAACCCACCAAAGAAAAGAATATGTTCACATTCTAGTTGTTTTCATTGCGTTGGGTTGTTGGGTTGTTTGTTTTTGCACAGATCATTGCAACAGAGAGGTTTTCTCCCTGGGATGACATCACAGTTCTACTCATGAATATGGAAGTCTGCATCATAGCAAAAAAACCAAACAGGTCCTATACATGTGACTCCTATTAAGCAGTACCGGGTAAAACAATAGTTGAAAATATGGTTCATTGAAACACAAAAGATATACATGTATTCTCAAGAACTGTAGTAAAATAACTGCATTGCAAGAACTCATTAAAAGAGGAGGGAGCATGCTCCCATTTCTACTAATCAACGTCCACACTTCCCAAAGTCAGGGGCAAATTGGAGCGATAACCATAACTTGACCACAAATTAACTGCCAAAAATGTCAAAGTATTTTTTAAAAATCTCATTGTCCAATTTTTCCATTGGCTGCAACTCTTGCAGCATTCCTGCTCAATGACATGTGGTAGAGTATTTGTTTTTACTTCCCCTCTGACAAATTAAATCGGCTACTGTGAATCGGCAGTACCACTGGTCGCCCCAGGGCCAGGTTCCCAATGGTTGACTGGATAGTCAAAACCATCCATCATCTGGGTGCTGTTGGTCAAACAACAGTTAACTAAGGTCCTGGCTCAAACTTTCCTTCAGATTGTCAAGTTAAAACTTGTAGCCAACAAAGTATACAACCAAACCTCAACACTTCCATTTATCCCATGATTACTTTCTTTCACTTACATTGTACTGGCCATAATCACATCATACAGAAAAAAAACCGAAATCAGTAATTAAATACTTCACAATAAAATATTTCTAAACAAAATTGTGCACTGTGCGGCGATCAAACAATGTTATCCTGTCAACATTCAATGTGTAATTGACTATCTAATACATTAACTATTAGTTTTAAATAAAGATCAACCTTTTTAAAGCCTCTAAAGGTACACTAGGTTCAGCCTAGCTTGACATTTTCATTGAACTCATACCAAATAACATTTTGGGTTTGTTGTTTTCTTTTCCAGTTGATTTCCAGTCTGAATTGGTTTTGATAATGTACAGAGAAAATCACCTAAATGTTTGTCCTGAGGTTTGACTAATGAATTTGATACTGTCAAAGAAACACAAACCGCAAAGAATATAGTGGCATTCAAGTTATGTTTCAGTAATACCCGGCTGACCCTCTGCAACCCCTCATGTTGTTACTTTACTTCCTCCTGAAATGAACCAAAAATACTGATATAAAAGGTGGGTAGATCTGTCTTATTTCTGTGTAAGACCAGCATTAAAGTACAGCTGCAATGAAGTTTTCTTCCAAACAATTTTTCTGCAACTTTGGAATCTTCTTCAATGCATGAAAACTCTTTGACATTACTATCTGGTTTAATGTAATGAAAGTGAACTTTCTAAAATGTTTAAAATTATCCAAGCTTTTCTGGACAACCAAGGACGCTGTTGCTGTGATGTCATCCAAGGTTTTGCTGTTCAAATTGTGAACCCAGAATTTACTTCCTGAAAACATTTCTGAGAATTAATGCCTGCATATTGCTAGGCATGTAAATAACAATGAATCAGCAGAGAAAAGAAACGTTAAGTATAACAAAATCTACAAAAATGCATTTTGTGTGTGTATATACCGATTATGCCATTGAGGCTTTCTTCCTGAGATGACATCACAGTTTTGCTCATGAATATGGAAATACTTATTAGCGTAAAACCGAAAAAGCAATAAAATACCCTTTGAAATAGTGAAACAAAAGTTAAGATGAGGTTAACTGAGACCTTGAAGGTTTGTATTAAACAAGTTGATTACAGCTACCCTTGGGTATTTCATCTACATGGAATTTAATATGTGAACTAGAGAATCTTGTCTTTTTTTTCTCTTCCAGGTTGGATTACCAGAAATATTCATTGACAAAATGCCTTGTTATTCCAGACGTATCTCGATAATGTGCACCAAAGAATACACATACATGTATTTGGAATACACCAACAAATCTAAGTGAATAGAGTGGATGTAGTACTACGATTAGTAATCACCAACAGTCAGTTATAAGTTTATACAGTCAACATGATTTGAAATATTTAATACAGCGACTCTGCAATGATAACATCCGACAGGTTCTTGTTACTGCCAAAAATTTTATCTGGCCAAAATCAAGAGTGGATCCTGAACCAAATTTTCAGGGGGGGGGCAAAATTTGTTGAGGGTCCCAAATTTGGGGAATTCTTTATGTAACTTTTTATGGTCTTCCCGAGGATTGAGGATTACATTTTGATGGCTTTGACATTTTACAGTGTACGTGCTTTTAGAAGGACTGGAAAAGGAAATAGACCAACAAATCCCTTTTCTCCATTTTTTCCCCAAACTGTGAGGACAGGAATTCCTTTGGCCCCTGTTAGCCTATCTCCCTCCCCAGATCTGCCCTTGACCCAAATCTGATGGACTTTATGTGCTCCTAATAATTGTCTCAATAATGTTTATGACTGAGACCTCCAAGCTCTTTCTTCCAGGAAGCTCTCTGAATCGACCCAAAGTCCAAACAGTGGACTTGTACATTATCTGAAGACAACTAGGATAACCAAGCTCGCAGAAAGTAACAGTGACTGGGCTGTGCATGTCCATGTTCCACCAGAATATTGCAACATTGGACCAGAGAAATGTTAGGGACGTTAGAGTGAGACAATGTTGTACATGCAGCACCAGAAACAATTCAGTCCTTTTGAGAGCCAACCCAAAGAATTCAAACATGGGTCGCTCAGTACTGAGCTTTATCGCAGCAAACAGGAGCTATAAGAGAAGTAAAACCACTATAATGCATTTAATATCATAAAAAATTAAAAGAAAACCAATATTTGTCGGAAAACTTTCAAGAATTGGAATGTGCTGAATGTGTTATAAATCGCACAAAATCATTGAACATTATCTTTTTCAAGATGTATTTATATATAACATTGAACATTACATAACCAGTGTTGTAGATGAGTCCCTTCAAGTCCACCACAGACCGTCCAGTCTCAAGCTATGTCACAGTCTATTCAAATGAACTGCAACAAAAGCATTCCTTTGTTACTCTTCACCCTGCTCTTGTGTGAGGAGTCAGGACTTGTGACCAAACTTACGAAGGGACTTGTGATGGACTCGACTACAATACTGCATATGACTAACTTTCTTAGATACTAAAGGTCAATTTATATTTAATTCCAAAGCAAACATAAATTTATGAAGCCAAGGCCAGTCTCCATGCTGAAAGTTCACAACAGCTGAGTCAAGTTCAACTTAGGTAAATTTGGCCGCAAATGCTCCATGACATCCACTTTATGAGCCCTGAGTGTGAACCACACATTGGACGGCATACTACAGTCTTAGCCATAGCCGGCAGTCACGTGCCAATGGGAAGTGGATATGTCTGTTAGGCAGTTGCTAACATTGGCATAGTCTTATTGTTAGCAGCTGCCAAGACTTTAGACTAACTGTGTGTCTTCTAAGAAGCTTTCCGTCAGGACACATTAGCCAGCGGTCCAGTGTATGAGGAGTGCTCTCTAGGCTTGTATGACGAGTCCTCATTAGGCCAGTGTCCTCCAACCTATCGAAGGTGCCTGGCAGCCTGTCAAATTTTCTCATCTTCCGCCAACGTTAAAACAGTAGCCACCAAGTTTATAAATTTAGCAACAAAGTTTGAAAATCAGGGTGCCACATTCGGGCGCCTATTCCATCTCATGCAATAACATCATGACTTAACAAATATCCTGACATGTCTGTGAGTAGCTTATCAGAAATCAATGGTTAGTCGTCCAGTCCGAAGGAAATCAGAACTCTGTAAAAGTCCTAGTGCTGAAGTCGAGACCTCTTATGACCATCATAAGATCCCAAAGAGAACATTCCAAGACCTAAAGCCTGAATTCAAGTCACCTACTATTCAAACGAACTCCACTGAAAACGTTCCTTTGTTATTACCAATCCTGTTGCCTGAGACAGGTCTTGTGTCTCGACTACAGCACTGCAAAGCCTTCTTTTGTCACCAGTCATCCCTTGTTACTTGTAGCAAAAACTTGTGAACTGACTTGTAATATACTTGGCATGGAACTGCAAAGGACCTGACTAAAATATTAGTACCCGTTTAATAAATGCAAATAATAATCCATGACTTTGCATTGATAATCCAGCAAGGTTTGTTAGTTTCCATTTTCATAGAGTCAATACTGAAAAATCAAAATCAAACACATCAAACCACGTTAAAAAATTCTACCTCACTTCAAATCAACATTTCATTACACCACAAACTTATACACTCTCATAGTTTTACTCAAGTTATGTCTCAGACATTGAAATTTCATTTTGTTTCACTGAATTCAGTTTGTAGAAACAGATGTTCCATCAGACTCCATTTAACGGCTGCCTTCCATATTTTACATCAAAAAGCACATCCCCTTCTTAGATACTGAGTACACCTAATGTCTTCAAGAGTAACAAGTACAAATGATTGGAATACCAATTGGATTTTTAACCACGGCCATTTTGCAAATCTTGACTTCATTTGTGGTTCGGAATGTATTACAGCAATTGACCCTAACAGTCCCCAAACCTCCGATTTCAATATGATTTTTACATTGCACAAATGGCTTTCCAGTAAATTCCACATTGAAAACAGATACATTATAACACTCAACAGGCTCCTTTGATTCTATTGCACTAGGTGTGCTGAAGTTATGATAAGGACTAAAATGAAATGCTTTCACTTGTGGTATTAAAAACAGCCCCATCACCTCAGGAAGATTAAATGATTAAAATTGCTCAACTGTATAAAGTTGATAAGCTTGGAAATCTGCTTAACATTGAAAATATTTGCTAAGCAAGAACAGGTTACCAACGAAGAACTCATGGTTGGTATATTGCTTGTGCGTGGTACTCCACCTATAAAGTGTACTAAGCAAGATTTTTCTGCCAAGCAGCTTTTACGACATTGGGTAGCTAGTTTTTAGTGGGCTGCTGACAGTAAAGTGCCTCTGTAATACCTCTCAAGCCTGGATACCATTACTGACGGTCTTGATGTCCTCAGTGCTGTAGCAAACATCCCAGAAAGACCTCGCTACATCAGCCACAAGGCTACGATCCGGAATACTTTGAGAGGTACCATAGACTGCCGCCTGAGTGGAGGAAAAAGACACAACTTTACCATGGGATTTTGTAGAGTTGCTAAGCAAAACTATTGCTCAGCACAGGGACGTTCAGCTGACTGCTGTATAGGTGAAAGTAACACAGGTACCAATGAGTATGAGCAATGTGCTAAGAGGTCCCTGTATCAACCCCTTCGCTACGGAGGACTACTACTACCGCACCATTGCGTGAGCATTAGTGCATACCACACGTACAGTCTATTCANCATACCACAGCCCAGCAGTCATGGTCAAAATAATCCCGCCGTGAAGGGGTTAACATGCTGACTGCAGACAGGTCTTCGTTTATGTTCTCAGGACGTGATATGCACAAGAATGAGGGTAACATGCATTTGCCCACTCGTGTGATCATTCTGGGCCAATTAAAATTACAGTATTCAAGACAAAGGTATGTCAAGGTAAGAAGTTATGTTGTACTCATAGCAGGCACTGTTTAGTCACAAGTAACAGCATATTGCTTGCATTACAAAGCCCTGCTGCTTTTTGCAAGAAATGAAATGCCAGAGGACAGACTGAGGACAGTTTTCCCGATGCTGTTGAGTTCTTACCGAGCCTTGGCATTTTGCTGTAGGGTCACTCAACAAGGCAGCCGTAACATCTCTCACATCCCGCACAAACCCATCTGCTACACCGGGGAAGGTGTGTCGCAGGGTCACGCACATGTGGAAACTGCGGTCACAAAAGCACATGATTTGTTACATTTTCAGGAAAGATTCTTAAGTAGTGAATATCTAATTTTCACATGAGTGAATGCCATCATGACTAAAAATCCTCAAAAAACCAACATCTAGGACAGGGTAAGTATAACAATATGCAGACATAATTGTGACATGATCTTCTAAAACCCCTCAAAGTAAAGCTGTTGTTTGGGAAAAAAAGGCTCTTTAAATTACTATCTATTTTGATTAACTTGATAACTATCAAGGGTGAACATTTTTACTTTGTTTTAAACAGAAGTTTTCTTGCAGCAAGACGATCCAATTATGATCATTTTCATCACTTGCACAGCTTTCTTAGTGAATGGCTCACCTTGGAGGGAACTGTAAGTTATTCAGACTCCAGCCCCGCTTGGTCAGGTCACCAAACAGACGATAGATGTCAAAGTCATTTGACCCTAATGCAATCACGCTGACTAATGGCTCGCCAAGCACGTAGATTCCCTTAATCTTCTTCAGTCTTGAAAAAGTAAAGATTGAAGAAGTACATATGAATAAAAAGGTAATAGCAGAAATTCTCTGAGCCTCTCATATTGTCTCATCTTTGTATGTAGATAAACAAACTCAGTTAATCCAGATTTTTAATATGTTGAGATCAAAGAAACATTAAACATTTTATATAATTCTTAAACTGTGTTTGTGACCTTTAGGACTCTATTTCTTGGTGAAATTTGATTCTGGAAGAATTTCTTGCGAAGACATTTTGCAAGAATGCCAGAATTCTTCCTTTGCAATACCCTTTGCTCAGATCAAACTTCAAACTCTTCACGTTTTAGATTTGATTAGATTTCAGGTTATACCAGTCAGTAAGCAGTTTGCAGCTGTTCCATTCTGACTTTTTCAGAATTAACTCACAAGGTTTTCTCTTTTCAATCTTGCAATCTCACTGTAGTTTTGATATATCTCTTTTTAAAGATAATATTGGTTCCCTCATACAAACACCTGACATTAGGTAAATATCTAGAAACACTTCACTTTAAACTGCTATGCTAGGTTCATTACAGAATATTTAAGATTACAGGTGAAAGATGGCTCTTACTCAGTCAGCATGTATCTGGTTGTCCGGATGATTTGGCGTGTACTCTCAATATATCCAGCCTCTCCAATGTTGACCATGGTAGCCCAGCAAGCAGCGATGATTGCTCCAGGACGACTGCCTAAACAGAATGGACCCCCCAAAAAGGAATGGTTATTTAGAGGCCTTACATCTGATGGGTATGCTGTTTCTCTATTATTGGCACGAGTAGCAACTGTGTACTTTCATGTCAAAGATATTTCATAGAATCAGTCCTGGTAAACTGTCTCCAGTGATGGCAATTAGTGTGAGGGGTCTAAGAATCATTATAATGTACCACAGTATGTTGCATCAATGAACGCAAATACTTCAATTGTTTTTTAAACAAACAAATGTTCAGCCAACATCCCTGACGACTGCCGAGTGGTTTTCACACCATGCATGACAAAGGTGCACCGATATGGCTCCTGTTGGCAACATATTGGCACTGCCAAGATCACCGTTCAGTCTGTTCTTAACAACTGATATAAACTAATATGGGGCCTTTTCCCAAATCTCAGTTGTGTCTCTGCCTGTGGCTTCACCTCAACATACAACAATCAGTTTCCAGAGCTTCAACTGGCAGGTGATAAATTCATAAAAAATGCATCTTGAACCCTACAGAAAGTAAAGCAAGACTCAGGGGGAGACTGGAAGAAAATGAAACTATCTACAAAATGATCACAAAAGGGTTGGATGATGTCCCACAGCAATGTAGGGTCTATTTGCTTCAAGGCAACCCTTCAAGTATCCATTTCTTGTGTTCTATATTAAAACAGACAACGACGGTAAACTCAGGATTTTCCATACTTTGAAATAGATTGTTTGAAAAATCCTTGAATCAGGAATACCATTATGAAAATATTCTGGAATCAGGAAAAATCCTGACAAATCTCACTCCTGAAGACTAATTTTCACAAAGGGTTTTCAAAAATCTTGTTTTTGTAAATGAAGTGCCAATCTTGTCAACATGGTCCCGATACCTGCAATTGATGGTGACGCATAAATGCCTCCTGGCCAGTCAGGTGCCACAAAAAACTGACGACGGCGCATCTCCATGTTACTATAGAGAACGACGGAGGAACCTTTCGGGGCAAAGCCATACTGGATAGGAAGAAAACAGAATATTTCACAAACCAATAAATATCCATGTGCATCAGACTCCTTGAAAAAACTGCACAAGTCTTGGCAGTTGAAAGCTGATGTTTGTAATGAGGGAAGACATTTCACCATTTCGAATTGTTTTGTGCTCTGCACACAATGGGAATGAACAGCTGGAATATTATGCAAGAAAGAATAGAAGGGTGAAAGGAATAGAAAAGGGGTAAGAGAAGGCAAAGAAATCCAGACTAAGGAGTAATTTGGAGAGAAGTGCCCATTATGGTTTCAATTTTGTATTGCTCTCTGACAGAAATACTCCACTAACCTTTGTACCCTACTGTTTCAGTTAAGACTATTTTTTTCACACAGCATTCTCAGTATGGCGACTTTTTTCAAAAATATCTTAGCCCGAGTTTTATTTCCCTCAAAATACAGCATAAAAACCAACTTTCCTATCAAGCTTTCCCATAAAGTACTTAATGTCAACTTTTTGAGCCTGCTCAATACCTTGTGAGTGTCTGCAGAAATGCTTGTTACACCTTTCAACCGGAAATCAAAAGGCGGTACAGGGAAGCCGGCTTTATCCATGAACGGGATGAGGAATCCTCCTAGACAGGCATCTACATGGACGGGGATGTCGTATTTCTCACCAAGCTATCCAAGTGAGAGCAAAATGACTTGGGACATTAGGAACATGTATTTGTAACGACACTGTCTGCCCCACATTGCCATCACGTTATCAACCTTGAATCAGTCACATCATACAGTTCGATGGATGTCAGTTTGGTCGCCAAGAAGCACAAATCACACAAGAACAGTTGACTAGATACCGGTTTCTTACCTGCACATCTAGGCTGTATTTACCTGTTTCTGGTGTTAACATAACACTTCTCCCAAATGTATGGATAGACGAAGTGTAACCCACAGATGAGAGTATACACTCTTGCATCAAGGGGTTTTCAGGATAGCAGAAAGGTAACCATTAGCCATTTGAGGGATGTGATCTGAGAGTAATGTGCACACAGCAGTTAACTGTGCCCTTGAGTACCAACAGCTGGACACACTGACATAACCCATGTTATTCTAAGGACCAGTCCATAATCACACGAGTAAAGTGATTTCAGTGATGTTCATGATTACAGTTTCACAATCATGTTCATGACTCTAACCGATTTGAATCATTTTCAGATCTGGGCAAAATGTTTTCTGGAGTGCCATTTCTTTCTTGCCACACATAACACTTGACTACAAAACACTTGACTACATAACACAGGAATTGAATCAATTGAAGGGAAAATGTGAGAAACCATTTACCAGAGTGTTTATTATGGAGAACACTTACCTTAGCAATTGCCTCAATATCATCAAAGACTCCAGTGGGGAATGAAGGTGCTGACCCAACCAGCATGCAGGTTCTGCTACTGATTGCTCGTTTCATTGCCTGAGTAACAAAACAAGGAAATTCTCACACAGAGCTAAAGTTGTGAGGAGTTACTTTCTGACCCGAGTTGAGTCACTGTAACCTAGTGACTCGAGTCGAGTAATTAGGCAAAAAAGTCAAGTCAAATCCTTAGCTCAAGTCAATTTGAGTCACCACAATATTTTAACACAATGTGATCAGTAAAAACAGGAGAGAAAGTCATTTTGTGGTATTTCTAAATTCTTCTCTGGGTTTCTGTACATGTGGTCTCACCACATCTTGCTCTTGATGATAACGCATGACATGAACATTATAAATCCCGCAAAGTCACTGCAATTACATGTATATTTTTTTCACAAAGAAGTATGCTTTTATTTTTGAGACTTGAGACAGACGATCGGGATTTTTGTCAAAAGGCCGACTGAGACAATATGACGAGTTACGCAATGCCGACTTAGTCGGAGTTTACTGTATTACTATTTATTCGGCAGGTAATTTGCATTAATTCATCAACCTTGGAAATTAGAAAATGTGTACTGAACTTAAAAAATCATGTCAGATGTGACAGGGACACAAAAAAAAATGGGCCCCTAATTTCTGGAATTACCCTATTAGCACTGGCAAATGTACACACACTCGATCTGTTATTGTAGAGAAATCACACGTTGTATGATTGCAAATGTGAAGACCAGAAATCTTGTGTGGACATGAATCAGTGCAAATAATCCCTACAATGCTCTATTAGGGAGGGCATATACTGGTACATGTACATGTACCAGTATATGCCTTGTGTAATTGTAAGAGGGTGCACTTTATAGGCCACCTGCACAAACACTTTATTGAGGACTCTATCTTCAGAGCAGGTAGACAGGTGGCTAGATGAGACACTGTAATGGAACACCTTAAGAGGCCTGTTTTAGTACACTACAAGCAATTATTGTGTCATCCTATCAATTCCCCCAACACGGTGGATTAGATTCTAAGATCTTCACGTGTATTTATAAATGCATTCATAAATGCTGAGGCCATTAGAGCAGTTTATGACTACAGTGTGGTTCCTAGACTCACCTTGACCTTGACAGCGTGGGTTTTCTTATCCAGTGGGATGTGGACCAGCCTCATACGGAAGTAGTGTGCCGCCTTGTCAAAGGCTGCATGCACACTCACAGGGGCCAGGCTAGAAGTCAATCAATAACAATCGACATGTTGAGTCATATTCTTCCCTTCTGCTTTTAACCACATGAAATACTCATTAGGTCAAGTCCAGATTTCTAGTACAAGTTTCTATCATCCCTGTTATGATTTCTCTTTAGCGAAGGCTCCCATAATTTATAGAGATGTCTGAATTTCCAGACTACAAAAACATTTAGAAAAAACTGAAACCTGCAAATTTTCATTTCTGCAATGATTTTACAGAGATGCTAATCGGGGATGGCACATAAAAAGAGCGTTATCTCACCATTTTTAAAACCATGCTTTAAGGAAATTTCACAAATTATCCCTTGGACTGCTGAACAAGTACCAGCTAGAAAGTTCAGTTGGAGGGGCATGAGTGAAGTCTACATGTATGTAATCTGAGGGTCAAAGGTGGTAATCCTGCTGGGTTCATGAAGCCAGTTTTCGTCACAGTTTATTTGATGATAAAGCATAGTTAAACAGTCCATAATCTCTAGATAAGTCCTGTGCTGCACAGTCAACTGGACATGCTGGGTGGCAATCCCTAGTTAAACAGCCCACAGGAGTTAATTACTTTTTGCTGGACAACTCAGTTACTAGAGTGGTTTGAATTCAATTTCAATCCTCCTTGCTCACTCTCAACAGCAGGTTTGTTCTCTCAGTCCATTTCCCTTTCAGCTCGCTAGATAAGTCATTTCGTATTTGTGTATGAATGTGGAATGGAAAAATAACTTTCTCTGCAGACATTTTTCTCTAATTAGCAACTAAACAGCATACAGCTGATAAAACAGTTCATTTAGCCTTGGAAACCTGGCTGTGCTAATTTATGATTCATTCCAAAAACAATCACAGGATGTGCAGGTCAGTGCAAACAAATGGTTGCCCTGATGTTTCCTGTACTTTTAAAGTAACAGCCCTTTCCTGTTTTAAGTGATAAAATAGGCCATCAAGTTGATTCATCATTTTATTTTACAACGACAACTAACACGGTGGGAATAAAGAAAATGTACATATTGACATACATGTACTGGGAGGCTAATGGTATTAACACTGGGACGTTCTTCACTGGCCCACTGTTAAGATCGATACTTTTACTAAATCACTGATCACTGAATGAAGCCAGAAGACCTGTACATGTAGGACCAAAACTCTGGTGCTGCTTTTTCGCTCTCTGTGTCCCTTTAGGAGATTAGGATTTGCAAGGATTAGGTAAAGACTGTGTCGCCACGGTAATAGGCTGACACCTTTGCAACCCTCTGTTATGGGGCAGAGGATCATGAACACCCACTAGGTGCAACAGGCATTGCTAAGGGAATCTCTTTTTCTACGTACATTTCTGGAAATTCTATCCCTCTTTCTCTGGCCCGTTCCCTGCAGGCCAGACATGCCATAAGGATGCTCTCCGTCCCTCCTGAAGTCATCTGAGGAGGGGGGAAATTATGCCATCATCAACGTCTCTCAAAGGCTTACATGTACCTCACAACAAACAGTAAACTTTGCAATGTAAACGTTTGAAACAAAATCTACATTATATATTTTTCAAATGGTCAAAATGGATGCCAACTTGCAAAAATCGGACTGATATAATCCATTCCCTAGTTTCATTTTTCTCAGAAACAACATCTGTCATATTATTCAATCTAAAAAAAAATGACGACTTTGTGCTTGATCACATTTTAAAAAGTTTAAATTTGTACATTTTTTTTATCACAAGCACCTGTCAAGTATGTTTAAAGTACAGCTTTGATGCACATCATACTGTCAATACATGGCCAAGCCAATCTGTGCTCACCCTAATCTCCATGTTTATGGAACTACAGTATGGCATTGGCTAAATATTTTTTATCTAATAGCACATGATAGTTTCACAAAATAAAATGCAACTTTGTATTCTTATGGTCATACTGAGAAATCCAGAGGTGGTAATCAAACAGGTGTTTTATGATTAACTATATATGTCCAAGAACATGCAAATACTAAACTACCGTACCATACTATCCATCTGTTGCTTAAATAATTTTGAATATTCAAATACATCAAACAAATCAGCCATAATTGGAATGTCTTTTGAATAGCTGATATGTAAATGGCCCCTGAACAGGAATAACTTACAGCTCCACAGGAGTCTGGTCCCCCACTGAACATAGATAAACACATGGCCACCACTTCCCCCTCCATGCGTCGCACACTAGGGAAAACGTCAGGATGTAGGGGGTTACTCCATGCGAAGTCTTTATACACCTTTAACAAAACAAAACAAAAAGAAACATGGAAAAAATATTGCAACTGCCTCACATCATTGCTAATTTGTATTCAAGGTTAAAAAAACAATAACAAAAAAGCATTCCATCTGTCATGATGAATTTTTCACCTAAGCATTCTCACAATTTACATGTATGTCATCTATTCGTACCTTTCAACAATAACTTTATTTGTGCTTATGATGTCTCATATTTCAATGGAGAAAATTCTCGAAATTTAGTGTGAGGAGTTTTGGGTCATTGCGTGGCACCTTTTAAAAGGAAATACTTTATTTCACAAGGTGGTTATTTGATTCATCAAACAAAAAAGTGTAAATGAATAACTGACGCATTGTACGTAGATTAGTTGAGTAAGTTAATTGAGTATACTTATCAACCCATTTGATGCAAAGCAAGTTTGACTGCTTAATGGGAAAGAGTGGTACATGTACATGTACACGTATGTTAGTTGTTACATAACAGAATGTTATTGAATACATACTTTAAGGTTAAAGCTCACTGGCCAGATTGACAAACTGAACGATTTCCTTTATGAAAGTATGACTAGCAATGATATGGTAATACCATCTTTAAATAGTCTTTCTATGACTTCCCTTTCTACTCATTAAGCACTCTCCTTCCGCTAACTTCACTGTCTAAATGATAATGTTCAGCTCCAATTTTATTTTTCATAATTTATAGATGGGTAAGGCCCAAAATCCACATGTACTGACAAGCCATCTCTTTCACAGCACTGAAAATTGGGTTTGAAATTACAGCATTACAGGGTTAAGCATTAAGCTCAAAAATGTCACCAGACTAGGAGCACTTTTGACTAGACCAGTGCCAAAATGAATACCTCATTAACAATTTGAAATGGAGGAATGTTTTGTTGAAAAGGTTTCTTAACCAATGACCAGATAAAAGATACATGTAGTGGGGTCATTCCATGAGGTTTGGGCACAATTTGTGACGGTGTCCTTGTTACATGTCAATTTGGAATCCACATGCACAGAAATGGCTGTTCATTTTTAAGGAACCCATGTAACAATTGACACCATCACAAATTGTGCCCCAACCTCATGGAATGACCCAGTACTCTCTCTATCAATTATTCAATAGAGTTGAATTTGTTGAACTGAATACTTTGCTGGTGAAAACAATTTCAGTCAAATGAAATACACTATGAGGCAGTAAAATTTAACGTCGCTCCCTTGCACTGGTTAAAACCTATTACGGTGGTATAATAAAACAATTATTACCTTCTGTGACGGAGGTCCATGTGTTATGTACATGTACACCGAGGGTGTGTGCCATTTGTCCCTGAGGGTGTACAAAACATCATGGACCTCCAGCAGATAATTGTATGTTGTATACAAGGCCGTTCTTACCAAATTGGAACAAATTTACTGTGACGGCAATGAAAAATGAAAATTGGTTCACAAACATGGACATTAAGTGAAAGGGACTTCAAACAGGATGGTGGACATCGGTAGCCCTCACCCTCAAGGTTTGGAGTAAATCACATGAAGACCTTTCTGACTTTGATACAATCAAGCCTTGTTAACTGACCAGTGAAAAAGCCACTCGATCCTTGGTCTTTCTTTCGGTCACAGAAAAACACCACAACAATCATTTGAAACACCAGACTGACTCAATGAAAAAATGGATAAGGTTAAACAATCAAGTGGTTGTTTCCAACCCAATCTTTCTAAAAAGTGGGCATGTGGTATTCTAATCTACTGACATATGCACTGTAGGTTTACCAGAGGGTGTTCTTTATTATTATGGTAATTTGGTGTACAAAAGGTTATTCAGGCCTATCCATGCAACACAAAAGCACTGCCCAATCCCAGCCTTGACACACATGGCTATAAACTAGCCATAGTGTAGTGTTGGTGTGTACACGTATACTGTATACGCTGTAAAAGTACATGTGCATGTATTTTGATTTATTTTTTTCATTTGTCTTTATCCTGATAAGGCCTGTCAGGACCACACTAGAAATGAATTTTTAGCTTTACAATTTTCCTGTCATAAAGTTTTTTCTTTGCCTGTTTTATTTCTTCGTGCTATGTATTGTCTGGTGTTTGGTGTTTTAAGTCTCTTTTATGAATGTGCCATTGTGTAACGATGTTCTGTGTTCTCTTGTCATTTTTGCATGAGCCAAATCAAACAAGCCAATAATGTTTGTTACAACCTTTTACCTGCAAAGCCTTACAATGCAATAATGTGTAAAATTATTGTAAAATGTAAAAGGGTTTAATTTGGAAAATGTTTAGACACCTTTCCCATACCAAGGCGGCTACTGCATCCCTCGGTGTTTTCATGCACAATTGTAAAGTTCAACAATGTACATGGTCCAACCAATGTAAAAATGTAGATTGACGATGGGGTATTTAAAACAAGCAATGTTTTATATTGTTTTAGAATCCATTTCTGATCTAAAAAAGTACATGGATGCGTAAAGGGGAAAAAACAGTTTGTGAGGGGCATCGTTTACAATAAAAATGAACACCAGATTGCATCGATCAAAACGTCAAACCTCTAGAAGAGGCGGTTCCATTTACATGTACATGTTTGGGAAAATCTGTAAATGGACTTGGAACTTTTTTCGTTAAATGTGTAAACATCCCGCCCTAAAATGACACCTTTCAACTCTTTCATTGAAAACCTTTACAGCATAGGAAAGGGCTTCACAGGAATTAGGTGAATTACCAGAGAGGCACAGATCACATGATGCACAGCTGGCTACAATAACCTCCCACCTACAAGGCTACAAGTACAAAGATACGGGTAATAACAATGGAGCAATCCAACAATGGTCTCTCTCCCTGATGCTTACACAAGATACATTCATAGATAACTCTTGACCTCTGACCTTCAAATACTTACACAGTGCTTTTTCTAATAGTATCACTTTTACACTGGAAAATCGGTTCTATAAATAAATTATGCTGGTACCTATGCCGTGTTGTATGGAATCTTCCAAAACAAGTTAGATTGCGCAACAAGGATAGCTTTCATGAGGCACATGCATAAAGGTTCTCAGATTTAGTGTTGGTAGAGACATTCCTTGTTGGCAAACATTGGGAAGCTCATCAATTTTTATGTTTACAGAGCCTCTATCCAATTTGCAAACACCATAAAGCCATAAGCTTGTATACAAATAATGAATGTCAATGAGTCCACTAGTGAGAATAATTTCATAAGGCGACAGATGAATGGAAGTTCACCTGTCAACCCATGAAATTATTCTGACCACTGCACTCATAGGCATTTATTGTTTGCTCTATACAATACTTGCATTACATGTAATCCTTCCAGTCTACCATTAAGTGAAACAGATTCATGTCCTAAGCACCACCCACTAGTGGTACCTGTACCATGCAACATTAGATTGGTTCCCTTCCCAACATTACTTTCCTCAATTTCTAGTGGGAACCAGTCAAGTGGAATCAACTTCTATTCAACAGGTACCATGGAATAGAACAAAAAACTCCCTGACATGTGGTCAACAATCCACCAATCAGATGATGGGGATTTATGCAGGTACATGTATTGTACGATGTGCTACAGCAACTGTAGAAACAGCATAGTGCACGCTTTCAACATAGCCACCCACAAGCAACTATTAGCATGTCTAGTCTGAGTTGTGACATAAAAATTTCAAGCACAGTTGTCGCTTCTGGTCACCAGATATTTTCTCATGCTGTTATGTGTAGGTACCTCCTGAAATTGGCTGAATTTAGTTTGGTGATTTTGATGTGTAAAAACAGCTGTCTTGTAACTTGAATCCATTATGTTTTTCACTCTATAACAAGCAAATAAGTGCCAAACTTGATTAAAAAGTTACCAACTCTTAAATTATTTCAAGGTTTCAAAACATTGTTTCTTTCTGCTCTGACAGAAAACTTCTACCCTTTTTTTGGTTACATGTAGATGAACTTACCTGATATAGACAGCTCAATGGTTACAGGTTTTCTCAACCATTTCCAGACGGTATTATTTGGGCTGAAAATTTTGACTTTCAAATATGGGCGTGCGCGGCGGTTTAACCTGTCAGCCATGCCTGTGTACATAAATGGCTTGATCGTATCACCCATCCTCCAGCAAAGTAGTTAATGTGGACTAGTTGAAGCAACTCAAAGATGACATTACCTTTGCACAGAGGGATGACAGTTCATCCGTTCCCCCATACACACAGCCAGAAACTCTGCCTTTCTTCCAGTCTATCTCATCTGTATCAACAGGATGAACCAAGACATGGTCAACTACTGATGTTGAACTTGGAATTGTTTCTTCTGCAATCTGTCTCACCGCTGATCAACACATTCCCCCTTCATTGACATCAAAGTATTCACATCTACCTACACAGCCATTATCATCATCAAACATTTAAAATCTTCGCAACAGCCTACAAGAATCTCTATGTGTAACTATTCAGTACCAATGAAGCCATACCATCTGATCACCACTCGTCCTCTGTATTACCAACACGGATCTTGTATAGACCATTATCCCCAGATCACCTCTGAACTCATCACCATCACCACCCTGATTGTCACCAGGTCTCTAATGTCAGCTGTCATCAACATTCCCAGTGCTGCCACTGCCCAGCACTATCATTCATACCACCATTCCAATCATCAAACCGATTTCAATCATTGCCACCATTCCAATCATCACATTGATTTAAATCATCACTGCCATTCTTATCACACTGAATTGAACCATCACCACCATTCCTAAGGGTACATGTATCATCACATTGATAGAAATCATCACCACACTGCAATCTTCACATTAATTTCAATCATCACCACAATCCAAATCAATCCTACCATCTCAATTCAACATGTTTCACCATCATCAATTCCATCAAAAATTAGCGACGATGAAGGATCTATAACATGCACATGTATCCACCAGATCTGGTGTTTGATGTTCTGTGCATTATTATCCCTGAAACATTTTGACATGTAAAAACCATCTCATCAAGGGAGTACGTACTGCAGTGCAACCATTTCAGGCACAACCTGGTAAATAAATGTCAATAAGACTCTCTGCTCTCACAGTTACCATGCATGTGTACCAAGTGACTCCTAGGTGGAGAGGCAAGTGGAGGAAGAGCAGAGAGCTATTTGCATAAACAGAGGGCTAACTCATCATTTTCAATTCATGTGCATGTCTGTAGACAATAACAAATTAAGATCCATGGAACACATTCTGAATCATGCAACACTCAAGTGTAACATCTGCAAGAGCACAGAGCCTGTTTTTTGACACTACAATTAGTTTCTGCAGTACAGATATCCATGCATTTCCATTGTTTACGCAGCACAAAATAAATGCTTATTTACTTGCTTGGGCATTCAAACATTTTTTTGCAGATCAACTTTGTTGATGTATCAACAACAGTGTTGATGTAACACTTCAGACTACAGCATACAGATGCAAACATGCAAATAGCTGCACAAGAGCTGTGCAAAATATCATGTTTTCCATTACCTTGAGTTTCTGTGTAAACATGGATCGCCAAGCAGGCATCATATTGTAATTGAGTTGGCGCTTGACCCTAATGTTTGCCGCAATTGTTGAATTTAAATTCCTGACAATATAATCTGGAGTTAGAAATCCTAACCTCCAGGCCACATATCCCACATCACAGCTAGATCAATTACCATCACATCATTTTACCATTACGGCTGTGCCAAATATCCAAAAATCTGAATATTCGATCGATAATCAAATACTTGAATATTATTTTCCAAATTTGAGTATTCGAATGCGAAATTCATGAACAAGAAGGGAGAATTTTCTTTTTTTTAAATGAGAAAAATTGCATGAGCAGATTCAAATGAAAAGTGACAGAAATCTTACAACGAATCAACGAATAAATTGTTCATTAAATAATTTTAAAAAATAGAAACTTTCAAGAGGGCAAGAAGTACTTTTCATCTCTTAAATCTTGCTAAAGTGTGGACGTAAGAAGCTGCATCTGTTGTAATGATTACAATGTACAATTGTGTGCATTATTGCAACTGATTTTGTATATGGTTTAAACATCAACAATCTGCCAGTTGGTAAGACCTAATATTCGGATATTCGATCAAACTGAAGGTCGAATATTCAAATAGTGAATTATTCGAATTGACTCAGCCCTAATCACCATTAATCCGAATCCCATATCATCCTCACCACCTTCATAATGTGGATCACCACCATCCCCTAAGCACTCACATTCACCATATGTTCACCATCACCGCCATGACTTTCATCACCAACACCACCCTTACCCCTTCATCCTCAACTTCCTTCCAACCTACCCATGGCATGGTATCCATTCTTGATTCTCCTGAGTACAGCACTCTCAGACATTCCTTTCATGGGGAGGGCCTTCAGGTATACCTCCCCATCTTTCATGCAGTTTAAACTGCGAGTCACAGCAGCCTTGGACTTCTCCATTTCCTTCTTGACCTAAAAACATCAACATTGAGTAAAACTGTGTATAATTCCAATAAAATCACTGCAACTTTGTGACTTGTCACATAAAAGAGAACTGAGACCATTGCTTAATTATTTACCTGGATTACAGTATGGGTGGTGTGGTGAGTGGACAATATTTTTGCAAGTGAAGGGCCATTTATATTATAGTGTCTCTATAATGGTTTGGGACAGAAAAGTACTCAAATGAAACTGTCATTCAGTTTTTACATAGATGTACGACACAGTGCATGTCACACACTGTATGTACATGTATGCCCATGCATCCATTATACATGTACATGGTTGGGTCTGCCAAACTGTAACACTACAGAGGGGTGAATGGGAAACTTTGAGATGCTTGGTAGTGGCAATCATACCACCAGTGTTGGAGCAGTCCTACTCAAACTCAAGTACACCTTGAATACCAACGAGTACTTGGCCTGTACTCGACTGGAAGTACTCAAAAAAAAAAAAGAATCGGTATGTTGCTGCCACCAACACATCCAAGTCTCCCATCGGAAGCATCCCAACTATAATTGGGGCAGATGTTATCGATGCATATCATAGTTTCTTTTCCTCTATATCATTATGTCAATTCACAGTGTTTGTCATAGGCAATTGTACCTCTCACTTTTCAAAAATTGAGGGGAAAAAAGGGTGAAAGTTTTTGAACAGAATTTTGAAAAAGCAGTCCAGAAGCCCCTAAAGCAATTTTGAATTGTGCCAGGACATTGTGACAGTTGGAACTTACCACTTGTTTGACAAACGGTAGACTACGGAAAGTCTTGAAGAATGACATCTTAATTCGCTCAGGTATTGCTAATGGTGAATTGAAAAATAACAGCAACATGTTTAGATTTGGGAAGGCAGAATTCAGATTTAGAAAAACAAGTTAGTATATACATTTAGTTCACCAGTTCAGAAAATTTCAAAAATAGAAAAAGCACCATCCTAAACTTATGTACATAAACACAAAGGCTTTTCATTATTTTCTCAAACAATACATAAAATTGTTGACGAAATCGGAACAAAAATTTTCGAATACACATAGGAAACAAATAGGCCTTGAGAAAGGCAGACAAAAAATTGATTATTCCAGAGACTTGTCTGAAACTCTGACATCTTGAAGACACAACTGAAGACTGGAGACTCTTGAGCTGTTAAGTAACCCTTTGAATGACTGAATAATGAAGAAATGGTTTCAGTCACTGAGATACAAGTTACATGTACTACATTACTCTATATACCAAATATCTGAATTAATTAGCCGCTTACTAAGTAGTGGATGCCTCATCCAGTTGTACAGCCATGCCAAAATGATTGTGATCCCAACCGACATTGCAATCAGTTGCCATGGTTCTTGATCCGAGCAACAGTCATTGACCTTCACCCGAGCATCATTAAGGTACAGCTTGGCAACCTCCTGAAAGTTAAAGGAAGGGTACAAAATCTTTGAGATTCTTCACAGAAAAAGAAAATTCCTTGTCAATTACGGGGTTGATCAAAATGTTTGACTGAAAAGGGACTGGACCTTTTGACCTTAAATTGAAAGTGTTTTGATTTGTCAACAGAATGATTTGCCTTATAAGTTACAGGGACTAGTCAGAAGCCATGAATGCAGGCCTTTTCTTGTTTCAGTATCTCTCAACCAGAAAAAACTGACTTGCTCAAACTATGACATTCTCATCCTTTTTGGCAATTCATATCTTTAGCAGTCTCTCATTTCAGTCCTGACACTTTTCATGAATTTTCATGTCAAGGACAAGAAAGTTTCATTTTTGAAAATAATGAGAAAATGTTCAAGAATACATCTACATGTACCTGGATGGATGTCAATTCAAAACCAGGGGTGATGTTATCACAGGACAGCAGTGGAATTGCGTGCCTTCAATTTAATTTGACAATGACGTGCTTGTTTGCATCCACAAACTCGGGTGAGAAAATCATATTTCTTTCCAATTTACTATTCAAAACTATCTTTAAAAGGGGTCAAAATAATTAAGAGAACAATCGGTGATGTGGGAGATGTCATTCTGTAAGACAAGTGTAAGAGAGATATGATGACAGAGTTCAAAGTTACAGGCTTATCACTGAAAATTGTCATGATTGTGCTCAACTTCAAGTTGCTTGTGTTGTCATGATTGTGAAGATATGTCAGTTGTGTGAGGCAATGCTATACATGGAGTGTCAAAGCATGGAGGTAGGGTCAAAGTGTCATGTCCACAGAATTTATTTCTGTAAACTAAAACACGTAGGGGACGGAGTTAGCGACTTCGAGTTCTCGAAGTTCACACAGTTTTACTGTTCACATCAAATACCCAGAATTTTGCCTGGTTCCTAACTTCTGTCATTCCTAATATCTGCTTGCTTCTTTCATGTTTTTAGCACTCCACTCTTTACTTACCGCATATTTCCACAACTGTTGTTCAACATTTGCTGCCGTAAAACTGCCCTCCATTGTGCCTCGCTGGGAGAGAGCCGCCGGCGGGTTTCTTATTACTTCGTAAAGTTCGTCTAAATTAAATTACTGGAAAAGGGCACTAGGCCTACTTTCTCATCAAAGTTTACTTCAAAATAAAATGCCACGCCGATTGACAGCGGCGATCACGTGAAAATTTATTGCAAAATTACACGTATATTTGTCACAGTAACCGGCGAACAATGGTTCTTCTCACCGTGTACTCATTGATCGGTTAACCGACCGGTTGACGTTACGTTTGCCAAGGGTTTAAGACCATGACCCCAACGAACTTTGCTCTACTGGGTCAACAAACTTCACGGCAAACGGCACCCAGACGAACATCCACAACAGTAGTGCAGAAAACGAGTAGAACATCAGACGAAATGAATCATTTGAACTGCAGAGGGCGCTATTTAAATATCCATCTTGGAGATTCTTTTGTTGACTAGACTAGGTACGGGTGGGCCTTTCAAGAGTCGAGTTCGGACTAACCGTTTGAACTCCCACACTTTAGGCCCACTTTCCTACGGTATAAACGTGAACAGGGTTGTGAGAATTCAATTCATTTACATTTTTTTCTTCCTCGTGGCAAAATAGACAATGTACAACTTATGAGATACTGCCACTAAAGGTGACAAAGCTTGTGTCACTGCCATTACGAGAAGCAAGACAATACAAAAGAAAAACATACAAACAGGGAAAACATTAATTAGATACAAAATGAGCATCAAATAAAATGATGAATGAGAGGGTTATGGCAGGGGATTACATATACTTGATCACACATAAGACTAGGGGTACCCTAGAGACTGGGACGCATGAAATCCGTTGCATAAGATAATTTAATTTAAGTTGCTAAGCTTGAAACTGTTGACCTTAAACATCCGATCTGAGAGTAGACAAAGCTCTTCCATAGTTTAGGTTCGGAATAACCGATACTGTATTGAAAAGTAGAAGTTCTGAATATGAAACTCTTTTCTTTTTCTTTGTTTTATGAATGAAGACTTCTCAGAGTTCGTTATTACGAGGCATCATTCGTTTTGTAATATACAGTCTAGAATAGTGTCTTTTTTAGTTGTTTTAACTTGTCCAAGAACTCGTTCGTTTTTTTATTTGAAAGAGGCCTGCTTAGTTGTCAACTGACAGATTTCAGGTATTGTGACCAGTAAACATCAGCTGCATAACGGTTAGGCCTACCTGCCATTGGAGGTACACTGCAACTTCATAAATATATTCTTTTCAGTCTAATGGCCGGGGCTTGCTCCCCCTCAAGTTTTAAAACTGTTCCGCCGCCGTTGCTTTGAGGGTTCAGACTCTGCCGCTATCTCATAAAAAAACTTCGAAGAAAATATTGAAAATAAACGCTTCTAATTTAAAACGTTTATAAAACAATTAAAGTGAAGTAATGAACACCCAAAACGCAAACAAAGGAAAACGTCTCCAAAACGCAAACTTGGAGAAATGCATCTTGCAAAAACGATAAAAAAAAAAACAGAAAGAAAGAACGTTTGTGAAGAAAGTCTCGTATTTAAAAATGCACTGGAAAATACATATCGCTTTCAAAACGTACCTACACTGCAAGCCTATATCGTAAAGACGAACTTGGAAAAAATCTCGTAAACACAGACTTAGCAAAAATATACTTCACTTTTTGAAAATGGACATTTAGGCTAACGCTGGAAAATGTACTTCAAATTGCCTGTACTTGAACATGGGACGAACTGTATCCAATGAGATTCAAACATTCCAAACGTTCAAAAAACATAACATAAACATGTACACTATAAATTAAATTCTGCTCAAAGCTTTAATGGAAGGCCTAGCAGCAAAAACGCAAACTTTTGCAGGAAAGAAATCATTTGGACAAAGCCGTGAATTCGGATAGAAATTAGTCTAATTACGTGGTATTCTTTACTAATTACTCCAACTGAAACATCAACATAAACGCTTGTACACAACTTTCATGTGGAGATTTTACCATGGTGGTGTGAAAGCTGCAGTGAAATACCACCTTTACAATAACTTACGTGATAAAGGATATTACATGTAAACGCGGCGAATGGCTCGCTTTCTTTCTGTCTAGGTCTCCGGGCGAAAGCAATGACAAGGTCAAAGAACTTTCTGCAAGTACACGAGCGAGTTACACATATACTTGTGATTGGGTGAGTGTGGCAGATGATCTGTTCGGCGCGTACAGGCCAAGAAACCTTTATTTTACGCTCGTATCATATTAAAGGGAGGTCACAAAGTGTGCATTGCCACAATTAATAAAAATTATGCAAAACAATTGGGGCAGGTATGCAAATATCCAATGGGTAGAAACTCTCAGCCAATGAGAAGCGTTACAGCCACGTAAGGTCGCCAACTTGCCTATACTAGCAATGTGGCCCATAGCATGGTCACAGCCACTCAAGGCATGCAGAGCCTTTTCGTAAATTATGAAATCAATTTGCCCACTACCTCCCCCTCGAGCCCACTGCTCTACATTTCAATCAGAGGATTTGGGCTACGTCCTTTTTATACTATGCTGGCCGTTTGGCGGCCGTAGACGTCCAGCAACCCATTATTTCTCATTTCATAACTGAGCTTTCCCTTGACGGCTTAAATGTTCAACACTTAAATTGGAGAACATGAAGTACATACACTCGACTGTATGTGCAACATCAGTGGGGGTGATCTTTTCCATTCTGTGTTACATATCACATTTGCCTTATTGCTCAAGTGTAGCCCGAATGAGCAACATCAGTGGAAGCCTAAAATTTTATACATATAATTCGTTACAATGAATTTCAAGTGTACTCATTTGCGTGCATAGCGTTATGGCACTTCCTGGCCGAATGTTTCACATCAGTGAGAAGAAAGTGCCCACACATTTACTTTGTATGTTTACCCGGGCGTACTGCCCGTTGTTTGGGTCTGGTGTGTCCGTGGTTGGGTCTGGTGTGTCCGTGGTTGGGTCTGGTGTGTCCATGGTTGGGTCTGGTGTGCCCATGTGTGGGTCTGGTGTGTCCATGGTTGGGTCTGGTGTGCCCATGGTTGGGTCTGGTGTGCCCATGGTTGGGTCTGGTGTGCCCACTGTTGGGTCTGGCGTGCCCATGGTTGGGTCTGGTGAGCCCAATTTAACATTATATTGTAACCTGAGATTGTTTGACCGGACTACCATTGCGATCGATGTCTCACACTCAATAAGTTAATAACCTTCCAGGCCTCGGCATCAGCTCAAACAGATAAACAGTTTTGTGTTGTTTCCATCCCTTGAGTCCGCGTCTAAACGTATATCATTAGGATAAGACTGATCGGCTGATCAAAACTATTTTTTGAACACACGGTATGCTTTTGCCTGAGAGAGATTAAAAAATTACGGGCTGTTTCTTCTGCTGTGAATAAAGTGCTTTCAGGGGTATTGTAAAAGAAGCCAAATCAGACAGCTGACACAATATCATAATTGTTAACAAATTAAGCAAAAGAACATCTTTAGGCTACACAGCATACAATAATCACCGTGAAAATAAAGCTCAAGGCAACAGGTCAAAAACTTGTTCAATACGTTGTTAGGATTAAATACCTACAACTACATCGATAGATTAGTACATTTTAGCCAGTCCTTCATTTTAAATGAGTCATTTAAAATGAAGGACTGGCTAAAATTTAGATTACAGGCTATAGTTGCATAGACAAAATGCCAATTACATATTTTTCATAATAATGCATTACAGGAACCTACAAAACCCACCAACCTTTAAAAGAGAAAACATCACTAATAAATTGCATCAGCATGATGTGATTAATATCCACGACAGCAGCAAGAAAAATATACATGTAAATTATTTATATCAATGATCATTTGTGATTCCATTCACCCATAATTATACAAAAAACACCTTTTACTGTAAACACAACTTTAATAACATTAAAAAATACCGCCACGATGTAAGGAACACCACTCTGTGACCATTTTCACAAAGTGCCAAATAATTTATGCTGTTGGAATGCTGTTGCAATGACAAAAATAAGCCAACATTAGTAATTAAAAATTTCTAATCATCAATAAGTACTTGCCATTTTTAATTCAATATACATGTATGCAGTAAAATTTGATCAGTCAAGTCTTTAGAATATAGAAAAACTACAAGAATAGACAACACTTATCATTTTCATCACACTGAAAATTTGCTTTAACTTCATAGTATGCATAAAAATTTCCTGACCCCACAAAAATCATTTTTTGGTTCAATTTTACACGTATGTGTGCAAGGACAGATTCAGGGGGCCATATATCCCCCCTCCCCTTTAGAAAAGGAGCCACCCCCACTTATTAAGCAAATGAGAGAAAGGCGATTATTGATCTACTTCATTTTGCTTTCCTTTGAAATGCACATATAAAGCCCACAAATGTGTCCTCGCCCCATCCCTCAAAAAGGCCATACAGGGCTACATGAAAAAACGTCCAAATTGTTTGTCCCCCAAGAGTCCCCCTGAAGCAATTGGTTTTGGATTCACCCTTATTCCTGTGTAATGTACATGTATCGTCAGCATTTGTTGGCAAGTTATGCCACTTTTCTTAAGCACAGGTTTAATTTACAGCCCATCATTTGTGCATTTCCTTTGAGCCAACGACATAATTCAGAATCTAAAGAAGGGCGCCGAAGAACAAACCACATGTACTACAATATACTAGGATTTTGATTTCAGATCCAAATTTGCTGCATCATGTTTTGAATTGGATCTTCATACTTGGACATGTCGGACACATTCTCACGTTCAGCCAAAAGCAGCTACGACATGTCATGCGCTGAACCAATGAAATACAGTAACCGCCCATGTGTTTTGTGTCAATGCGTGTGTGCTTCTGATTGCGATATTCCAATTTGCATTGGTTTATAGAGGGAGTTTAGTCCCATAACCATCTTTCAACCAAATGTGCTTTTCAACAATACTTTAGACAATTACATTTTGGATAACTGCAAATGATGGACTGTACCTTTAAGTCTGAGTGGTGGTCTGACTTCTAAACTAGCAAAGTTTACAGGCTGATGAAATGCAGTTTTCTTTGTACTCTTTTTCAATGTATTCTTTCACACCCCCCATTTAGTTAAATACATTGAAAAGTTCACTTCTTTAAACACTTCAAATTATCCCTTGCTTTCCTGGACAATTGAAGGTGCTGCTGCTACAATATCATCCAGGAAAGACAGTTCATTGCAGAGGTTTTTCTGTTAAAATTGTGAACCGTTGTAACATTTAGGCTTTCTTCCTGGATTGATACTACAGTTTTGCTCATGAATATGGAAATACTCATTAGTATAAAAAGCAAAAAGGCAGCAACCAAATGAAAATAAGGTCAACTGAAACACACAGGTGCAATTTGAAGGTTTGTATTAAAACATTTTGATTGCAGCTACCCTTTAGCTACATACCCAAACCATGTCAAAATCAAGACGATTCTACATGATTTATATCAAACTTCAGAAGTTAGAGCTATGTAGCCAGCATTGATGGGGTACCTCTTCCTATGAGTCTATTTGTGTTATTTAGGTGTGGATACCAATTGATGAGCTTAATATTGCTTCTTAACACACACTTCCATCTCATCAATTGGCTGATGTGTCAGTGCCGCTACCCTGTTCAAAGTCAAGACGGACTCGGACTCCTTCCCTGGTACCTTGTAGAAAGTGTACCGGCTGAACAGCCAAGTGAAGAGCAGGAAGATTTCTTTCTTGGCAAAGTCCTCGCCCAGGCAGACGCGACGTCCAGCACTGAAGGGAAGGAAACTCTCAGGGAGCTTGGAGAGAAGTTGTCCATTGTCATCCAAGAAACGCTCTATCACAGAATGTAACAATAAATGTCAACTGTCATAGGAATAATCTGAAGGATATAGAGATGAAGTGCTGGTTTAGTAGATTTTCTATCCAGCACATCAGTGCCTTCTGTGTCTGTGAGGAAAAGTTACAGAAATCCCTGATTTGGAGCCAAAAATCTATGCTTCATTTTCGTCATTTAGGCCTAAGACAAGAAACATTGTGATCATGCCACCACTGTTTGAAGAGTTACTGTCTAGCTTCAGGCTTCAAAGGCCCCACACTTGTGGTCTACCATGGAAGAAGGAAAAAATTGGTTCTACGATTGTGGCTATCAATCGTGAGGCAGTAAAATGCTTGTATGAAAATTGATGAAGGTACATGTGAAGGTGTTTTGGGTTTCTTTTTGAGGGGGCAGGTCAAATTCAGTTTGTTAAAAAAGTGGGATCCTGCAAAACACAGATGATTTGTGTTTTACTGAGTTTGCTCCTTCTGGCTGAGGGTTTTTTTATTTGATAGAAGATATATAACGGTTTTTGCCCTTACCCAACGTATATTAATAAGCACTGTATGCTCAGTGCTTGTCCGAGAGCTTGCGAAATAGAAGATATTTGAAATTGAAGGGTTTAATTGGTCATTCTTGAAGAGAAACAGCCTCTTGTCTTAGAAGTGGAACAGCGGAAGCCACTTCAGTAACATGCACTGGTGCATTTGCAATTTTGAAAAGGAATATGGTGGAAAAAACTAGCAACATAACGATAATGTCAACAGAAGGTTACAAAAGGCTTGCTCTACCATCAACATCTTAAAACAATTTTTAAATCACTCCAACTGACTACTTCATGATTTTAAGTCTGTGGAAAAAATGAGATTTTCTTTACAAAACTACTGAAGTCTGAATTCAATGTTACTTGGTATTACTTGTAGCTCATAGAGATAAAAGTGGAAAAATTGCACTCAATCTTGAAGTACAATGAGCATCCAACAGTGTTTCCAAAAAAATCCAGTTTCTGGATGAGTAGGCTATATTTTAAAGTTTGTGCTTTTACATGGATGGTTTCTTCTTGCATGTACATGAGACTCTTATATACATGTATGTGGATGAATCTTGTATTGTAACACTGTTGTTTGAGCTTACAAAAACAATCACAGATGGGCATATTCAAACCAAGAGGGCAAGCATGCTATAAGCAGGCCCATTGGAAGGTATAAAAAAGGTGGGGACAGGGCATCCCCCCCCCCGTTCCGGCGGCCATGGCTATAAGTAACAATGTCGTACATGTGGAGAGTATCACGATGTTCCTGTCAATTGTGCAATGAACAGACTTTCAAATTTGCCAGCCCCTGTAAGAGGTACAACACTGGACTGATGACTGCGAGCTCCCACTAAGGCTAATAGGGACTATCAGGAGGAAAATAAAAACACTTTTTTTGGTTTTAAAAGTGTTGAATTTACCTGGTTTAAACTTCTCCGGTTCATTCCATTCTTTGGTGTCATTGTGAAGGGCCAGAATGTCAATCATCACTGTAGTGCCTTTAGGAATGTCATATCCAGCTGCAGAATGGTACAAAACCAAATATCACACACCTAGCTGCTGAATAAATTCTCCCATTAAGAGAAATATCATGGGGGAAAATGGCAGACATACATGTGTACATACACAGTAAGAGGATAAAATGACCAGCATATTTCCATACAGGATTTTAAATTTTTTCTTGAACGGCACCCAGGATGATAGGTTTTGGGTTTGAGAATGAAGGTAAAAGTAACGTGGACATGGGGTTCATGGTTTTGGAAAACAGTGGCGTTTGCGGGCCAATGCAGGTGCTATGATGCTGGAATGGTAGACAGGAGATTGTGGGAAATATCAGTGGTGGTGATCAGGTCTTGTGAAGGGTGGAGCATCCAATTAGAGTGTGTTTGGTCACTTAGAGGGAAACAGGCCTCTGAATCCTGTTCCGTAAGGAAGGGACAGGGACACAGGGTTAGGACAGAAATACTCACCCAGTGTGGTGTCCTCCATCACAGCATGGGGCAAGCCAGTTGGTGCCACTGTACCATACCGGAATATCTCAAGAATGGTGGCTTCAGTGTATGGCAAAGAGGCCCTGTCATCCAGCGAGGGGAGTCTATCACGGCCTAAGACCTCATCAATCTCCATGGCAACCTTTTGCTGGATGTCAGGGTTCTCTACCATGAGACCAACTGCCCAGTGAAGGGTAATAATAGTAGTTTCGGTTCCAGCTGTGTGTCAAAACATATCGATAAAGGAAACAGTCAGAACTTTGGAAAAAGCAAACTACAGTAAAACATTTGAGGCCTTAAATTTTGCAACCTAAACATTCTAACTCTTTGGTGTTTCCTTCCATGTAATTTGAACTTCCACCACGTTTAAAATCAAAACTTACAAGAAGACACTGAGGTAAAAAGGAAAAAAAAGAATATTTTCAGAGGCAGATGGCAAGGAGGCAAATACCTTACAAAGAGCTGCGTTGGGAACTATTGAGGGCCCTTAGAGAGTGTACTAAAGATATAGATGTGGGAGCAGTTCCTTGACACTTGGTATGTGTAGCATGTATATGCATACCTCTTGACCATACACAACAGAAACACACAGATGCAGCCTTGGCAGCAGTTTTCATGTTTCATTGCCAGAGAGTGTCAAGTCATGACAAGCAAAGATCGATAACGAAAGATGGATAACGGAGCCCAAAAGCTGTAATCACCATGGGCGCCATTTGAGCAAGTGATACGCCTGCGCAGTTTACATTAATGCTTGGGCGCAGGCTCACCAGGTGCACATGCCTGCTGCGGCACCTGCGCCTTTGCATTAATGTGCATTGCGCAGGCGTAACGCTTGCTCAAATGGCGCCTATGCGATTACAATGTTTTACGTGTATTTACGGTAAAGTTCGCCATCTTGCGGCACTATACGATCTTTGATAACAAGGTACTTCTGCCCCAAAGTGATGTTTCAGCTTTGCCTCTGGTCCCAAAACCATTTAAAGGCCTTCAATGCTTGGACTTCATATTGAAAGGTGCGAAGCTCTTAAAACAAAAACTCTGCTCAGGGTGATCAAGAAGCTTCAAATTTAGAGACCCATAGTCTGGCAACACTGAAAACTCCACCAAGGCCAAAGTGATGGTTTTAGAATTAAGCTCTTTAGAGTACTGTTTGTTTTTAACACGTACCACCAAAGATATCCGAGACGGTTTGGACAATGTGCGTGTCGGTGATTTTGTCAGCTTCCTCCTCTCCAGCTTCAATTGCCTGCTTCTGGGTCAACAGCAATGAGTCAAAGAAGTCCCGCACATTGTCTGCAGTGAACAAGGGAAAAATAGCCTGGAGTGCAGAACAAGTCAATCACTCCCCACTTATGATGAAACAAGTGATGAAGACCTTAACATTTCTTGACTATTCTGCCCAAATCCTCTTCAAGCCCAACAAGACAATAAACTCTTTCACTGCTGTTAACTTGGATCGACTGCGAAGCATCTTGATGAAAGTTGCCTGAAAAAGTTGCAGGTACCGGTAGGCAAGGTGGATGTGCACATCAATGTCAAATCAAGTAACTGAATTTGGCTCCCTGCATATACATGTAAATTTTGGTACATGCAGATGCCAAATCTGATGATCTTCAAGCTTTTGTGTCATCACAGTACTGATACTTTTCTCCTATTAACTCTCCCACTGTCAAGTTAAAATTTACGATCTGAAAAAACCCATCCAAATTGGTCAGGTTTTTCTTGTGTCAAGACTTTTAAAGTGTCAAGAGTAAAAGTACATTCCTGAAGCACTGGAAAGCAGCCTAGAGTGCACTGAAGTGTGGCAGTGCGTCCACTTGCCCCGAGTTTACGACATGCATACAAAAGACCAACATTGAGGATAAGTTTTGAAGAGGTATAAACCTAACGACGGACAGAGCATATTGTCCGAAATGCTGAGTGCCACCGGTTCTTTTCAGAACCCCACATACTCCAAAAAGAGATACATCCATGGTGCTACCTCAATCCTATCTAGTTTACTTACTACCTTCACCATGAAAAGTTTCAAATCTCATCAGGTATTCAACCATTCTTTGCAATTCAAATACTGATGTAGTTTTGGAGTGTGCTTGTGTAACCTGTATTTCTCGCCATGAGTCATGATCGCCTTTTTCCCCTGTGATGCACTGTTGATTTTGGTATCGCACCCAAGGCATAGTGCTTTGTCCGGCTTCTTCAATTTCCAAATGAACAGATTTTGTTTGGATCAATCCTCACTGCCATGAGTTCGAGTTTTTAAGGTCCTTGTCAGTCTCCTTTATGCCCTTCTCTTTCCTGATGAATATTGTCTTAATGTCTTTGCAACCTAACATAATAATTCAAGTCATGTTAATAACATTGCATTTCTAACTTAGGGCAGAACTCAGTTGTGTAAATGATATGATGATGCTGAACCACTCGCACAAGAAAACTCTTCATACAGTGAATGTCATTTGTCCGTTCCCAGCGCTACCCATTTTTTGTCCATAAAAGAGCCGATGAAAATCGTTATTTTACATATACATGCATCTCCAAATTCTAGCCTGGTTTCGGATCTGAGTGAATGGAACAAGTTCGAGATTGTACGGGACCAGCCTCACCGGGTATGTGAAGTTTTGGAACTTAAAATGTCAATTTTCCATGGTTGGAGCTAAAGTAAAAGTAGGATCTTCAAATCAAAGCCAGAAAGTCAAAATAAGAAAGTCAGAATTCCGCCAAATGTCGGAAGAATCTCATCCCTGGTGGATGGCACAGGGAGTGTTTGATTTTGATGGATTTTGTCCGGTGCCTAGTAAAGGGCACTGAGGGTTAGAATTGATATACCACAGAAGCGTGAACCTCAGCTTTGTAGAGCATCATGACACATCAAAGTCCTGTGTCCTGGTTACAAATGTCTGATTATAACAAGTTGATGACAAATTTCTGGGACTCACCTGGATCAAACTGTTCACGGTGCCTCTTTAACTCCCCATAGAACACATCAAGCATAGCACCCACGATCTTGCAGACCTTTTTCTCACTTTGAGTTGGAATGAAACTCAAGGCTGGGAAATAGTCCGGCAGCAGACCATTGCCAAAGGCTTTCTGCGCTTCAACATTCAAGTCAATCCACTGCAACAGTTCCGGTTGGTTGAATTCATACCTTTAATGAGATGGCAATATCACATACAGAACTCCATTGCCCCATTATTTTCTGACTACAACTTTCAATACATGTATGTCCAATGTATGTATCAGCCCCAAAGAAAACAGTCTTACGGTCTGTTTTTCAATTCTCTTCACTTCTCTATTACCCTCTGGTGGATTACGAAAAGATATGCATAAGAGGATAAAATGTTGGGTTTAGAAGCAACAGAACATTCAAAGCAATAGATCTATATGAATATCCCATAGTAAGAATTAAAACAACTAAAAAAAAGAATCATTTACACTCTATTATGAAGCAAGCCATTTCTGATATTTTTAAAAAGAATATATTTATAAAAGAAATATTCTTTAAAAAGAATGTGTACATGGCCATGTTATAAGAAAACGGTTACACTTTCAATTACGCTAAGTCTCGTAAAAAGTCAGCACATGGTCAAGTTCAAACAAATGCTAAACTATGCATTTCATTCAAAATTATAATACCATTCCATGCTGACACATGAAGTGATCGCAAAATCTTCACGATCACAGATACATGCACATGTATACTTACTGCCTGCCAAAGCACATGGAAGCCAGGATGTTATATACAATCTGACCAATGGTGTACTTTGGTGCAAATGGCTTGTCTCCAAGTCCATCCAGAACCTTGGCAATTTCAGGTGTGACACTGTATACCAGCTTCTCCAGTTGTTCTTTCTTTGCAAAATGCCTAGAATGCATTGAGTAAAGGTAACAGTCAGGAGATATTCTGACAGATGAAGATTAATTTCTACAATGTAAAAGAGCATGTATGCACGGTACGTGCATGTGCAATGTACATACAATGCATGCATTTTGCTCCAACCTCAATCCTACGGTGTCGAGCAGTGCACCCCCATACATGCTCAGTTTCACATTTCATATTAATATTCATGAAAACGAAAAGGGGATTATGTAAGAGACAAAAAGGAAGTAGGACAGTAACTACACCTTTGGCTGGAACCCCAGAGCTGTATTACATTATTAGAGCACTTACATGGACATGTATACCCATTGCCTCGTGCAGAGAGATTTTGAAGCAACCTTACATGTAAGCACAAACATTTTGAATTAGTGCACTTGACTGTGAAGAACTTGACAATGAAACATAATTGAATAATGTAGTCAAAAGGCAACTTTCAAGCACAGCACACATGACTAATACGACACATGTACCGGTATAGCACGGTTTCTGTCAGAAATAATGCATTAATTAAAAGGTCTCAGCGAAATCTAGCAGCAGCAAAGATGTCCAAGTGCGGCGTTGTTCATTGCATTGTGTATTAAATTTATAATTATCCCTGCATGACAGTTGCATATTTGTGAGTGTCTACAGACAGACACTCACAAGCAGGTTTCTCATTTCACAGTGAAGAGCCGGCAGTGCTCTAGTCATTTAAAATGGTGAAAACTCATTGTAATTATTCACCTAAAACACATCAGAACAATTCACATTAAATATGATATCAATTGTTACCGTTCTATTGCTTCGTCAAATCAGTAATAAAGTTGCCTATCCAGGGGTTACAAGTGGAACTGGGAATTAGGTAACCTCTGGGGAAGAGGTTGGCATGTGCATCTTTACTCGCAAGGCAACACTACACAAAATCCGGATCAAGATTTTATGGAGTTACAATATAATGTACATGTACATGTAGGGCATAGTGATCAATTTCATGTGATTGGCCTGGAAGGGAAACTCTTAGCTTTGGTTTTAAGGATGTCAAGAGAATTTATCCCTAACCCTGTAGAGACCTCAAGATCACCCAGCAGTAGATATTTCTTATTGAAGTTTGTTGATCTGATGAGAAGCAAACAGCAGACTTTTACATCTGTTTATATGCACTAACAACTATTGTCAGATCTAAACTGAAATACATCTTAAAAAAAAAAAACAAAAAAAACCAAAAAAAACTGAAGTCAGTTTGCCATACTGCATATGGGTCATTCCATGAGGGTGGGGCACAATTTGTGACGGTGTCAGTTGTTACATCTGTTCCGTAAAAATGAACAGCTATTTCCCTGCATGTGGATTCCAAATTGACATTGTTATACATCCTGCAAAGCTGAATACAGAGGGGTGTGTTATTTTTACAGAATAAATAACCTACTCTACAGGTCATGACAGGTGGTAAAACTTTTGGACGCAACAAGGACACCGTCACAAATTGTGCCCCAACCTCATGGAATGACCCATATTGTAGCAGCTACAGTGCACATATTTAATACCTGTATCATGCAGCAGCATTTGAGGTACTTTAATAGGTTTCATTGGAACCCAACCCATTAACACACTGTAGGCATCACCAGGATTTTTTCGATGGGAAGTATAACATTTGACAGCAAATCTAACCATTAATGATTAAATGTGGCAAACTTCCAGGTACTTTACATAAACAAACACATTATATTCAAACAAATTGTTGACGATCATCCCTTTTCCTATTTTTTACTTTTTAAAATTTTTTTATTTTATGGTTTCTTTTGGTTTACCTTTTCTTTTCCCCTCACTGCATTTATTTTGTTCGGGGGGAGGGGGGGTAGGAACTCCCTTCCTCCACCCCCAAGGTGCCAAGAACTAAGACTGTACAGCATTCACAGACTAGATCTATGGAGTCCCTCACTGACACTGGCAACAAATAATGCAGTGATGCTATACCAACCAGTGCTCATTGCTACATTGCTGCCTAGCAGACCACACAGCCTTGAACACATGATTTTCAGATGAAAATTGCTCAAGAGTGTTAAGATGAGTGCTGTGTACTCCATGCTGAATGTTGCTGCTGGAGTATCAAAGCATCCACTCTCACTCATACTGGGCCCATTCTTTCTCAGTGTAGATCAACTTACCTCAGTGCAGTGTGACCAAGCTTGCGTTGGTACCTCCACTGTGGACCATAGTTGGAGAACACAATATCTTTGTATCCCTCCGTAAATATCTCAACTGGGTTACAGAAACAGAAACATACATGATTGTTAGAGAGCTGAACTGATCTCATACACCACTGAGCAAGGACACAGACACTGAGACCACTTGGTATTATCCAACTTGACAAACTGAATTGATGGCACAGGTGGCTAGTGCCTGAAATGCTTGGCTCTCACCACTGTATGTCTTGGATTCGATTGCCAGCTTGGGCCACGCTCTGCATGTGAGTAGAGTTGGTTGTTGGTTCTCCCCTGTGCTACAAGGGTTTTTCTCATATAGTATGTAGAGTGCCCTCCTATTGTGTCTGCCATGCTTCTTAAAGGCTTATTGTTCATGCACTGGGAACATCTTGTAGTTTTGGTTTTGTGCAAGACAAAGTATACAAGATCTTTGCTTTGACGGTTAATAAACACTGTTATTGTGAACTCAAAACATGAAAACAACTCAACGGAATGAAAGCTGCAATAAATTAAAAACTTAATATTTAACCAATTAGGTAAAATAGCAGGAAAAAACAGTCACATGTTCCACATGTACCTTCACAACAAATGCATAAGCCTATACAGGTATGCAATTCTTCTGTGCAAAGTGTACCTGAGTATATGGCTGGTCGACCTGCAAACTCCACAGCTTTCTTCAGCAGTGCTTCTTTGACAACCTCAACAGTGTTCAGCATAATCACATCCCGATTAGCAAACTTCAGTGAGTAAACAGGCCCATATTTCTTATGCAGATCACTGAAGACCTCCACCGCAGTTTTATTGGACATAAATGCTGAAAAAAATTTGAAAAACCACAACAATTTCACATCAAATGAAAAACGACTGTAGGAATTTTATCAAATAATTTTATCAAATAAGTCCGAAATTGCATTAGATTCTTATCTTATGTGTACAAAATCACTCACAATGACAATGTGGTTTGTGGAAAAGTGATACAGAACTTTCAGTACTCACCTACATGTAAATACAGAGGTGACAGTGACACTGCCCTGAATGTTTACAGGATTAATTTTGTGGAAAAACGTACATGTAGTTTTTAAGGAAAATTGTGACAGGTGTCAGATGCAACAACTGCACACAGTACAGCAAACTCAAACATAACAGCCAGCAGATTTATAAGCTAATTTGATAGACCATTGCTAGAAGGGAAACCTACACTTCACTGCTGACTGGTCAGTTTACTGAATCAAAAAACGATAACCACCAAAACTTTCAAAAAGGAGAACTGAACAGCATCCCAGTTACTGGATCTGGAGTTACCCACAATGCCACTGTACACTGCACATATTTGAACCACATGTAGACAGACTATACGGAAAGAGTTCCATATGTATATGGACAACATTACATGTAATTTTCCCTTGAAAAGTTGTAACAGCCATCAGAAAGTGATAACATGTCCTAACAAGTGAAATTTAGGTAAGAAAATTCTGAAGCATTTACATGTACTTAGAAAACACTTGGGTTTTTTCAGACAAGTCTCAAAGGTTTGTGCAAGGTTATACTCAAACTCCTGCAAGGATAGGCACACCAACAAGGCAGTTTTATTGTGTGTGCATATGTCTCTTGCCACAGCTTCAATTTTAATCAACGTTTAACTGTTTATCCGGAATACCAATACCACAGCTTTAGGGCAAACCGGATTAAGAAAACAAGCAATCTCAACAAAGATCACTATAGGCCGTACCCATGACCACCAACACATCAACAGTGGTTGTGATACCCAAGGCCACAACTCAGATATAGTGATAGCCAATGACCACTATTCACCAATACACCAACAGCTGTTGTGTAATCATATTAGAGCAAACAAAAATGTACTAGAACTATTAAGGTGTAAAGCACATGCAATCTTTTAGGCACCTGTCTACAATAATGAAGCTGTAAAAAAATCACATGGCAAATGTGGTAAACTCTACATGTAGTTCCTTCCACTGGCACCTGTAGAGGGGAATAGCCCATGTGGTACATCACTGCCCATGAATCTACGGCAAAATATATGGACTATATTCAATAAACCTGAATCTGCCCGTGTGGCACATCACGGGGAACAAAATTGGGCAACACAAAGTATGGAATAATGGAGCTCGACCTCTTCTGGGGCCCTAAATTCCGTAAACTTGCTTAATTATCGTGCCTCATAATCCCGTACACAAATCAAGGCATCCAGGAGGAATGACTGGGGAGGAAGCGGGAAAATAATGCAACAGTTCAACGTTGATGTTTCTTGATTGAAGCTGCGACAATAAATGAGGCAACCCGAGCTGTCTGCATGGCGTGGTTGCCATTTCCCACCATGACCAGCGACTCTTGCTTTGATTAGCTGCTGAAGGATCCTCCCTCGGCCTCAACTAATGTTTTTTACAAGTTTGATTACTCCTACCACGTCAGCAATGCCTGTAAGGCCTAAAATTTGGCATGATAGTGCAACACGCACCGCGAACAGCGTGCGGCTACTTTGTGCCAATCCTGTAAGTTCACCCTTCGGGTCACTCCCCGCTGACCTTTCCGTTGAGTATAATGAATTTTACCTGCTATGCGGTAAAATATGTTGTTAGATTTACATAAAATGTCATACTTGTCCCCTTTTAATTTAAACTTGCTGGCATTTATGACACTTCAAATCTGGAAAGGTCTGATATGCAATACATGTACATGTATGCCCCCCAAAAGGCACTGGGCATGCCTACTTGCTCGGGTATTGTGTACATGTACTTGGGGACCCCAGTTTTTTACATTTTAATCTTGCAAAACTGATAAGTCCCCCCCCCAAAAAAAAAACAAAAGCAGCACTCTCCTTATACTTAACTAGCAATGACCCCATTTCTTGGAAATTTCAAATTGTAAATTGTGAGAAAATGCGACTTTCTTATTGATAAACTAACCATGCAAATTTGAATCCACCATTTGTCATGTGTTAAAACACAGTTTTCCCTTAGCCCAGGTGGACTCCCTGATGGTACTACAGTATGTAATGAAATGAAGACAACGTCAAACCTGGCCTAAGTTTCCCCTCCAAGTTTCCCTCAAAACCCTGCCCTTTTTTGACAACATCCCGACATGTACACTCACCACATACAGCATGATGTCAAAGTCAACTCCCAAGGTGAATTCATAAGTTAAAATGCAGCTCACCCTTCTATATTCCACAAATTTACAATCCCCACTTGTCCACAAACCCCGATACAACTGTTCTGAAAAGGGCTGATTTAATTTAACTCACCGGTGACATTCCCCAATAAGGGCACTGCAAAGGGTCCGGGGGGAAAGTTAGCAGGTCGCTTCGTGCTCCTGTACAACGCATAGGCAGCAAGTGTACACACTGCTACCAAAACTGTGGTAGCATTCACGTAAAAGTCACCCAAAATAGCCATTTTTCATCCAATTACATGAATTCTGATACTGTCAAGCTGGCAAACGCAAATTAAAACCTAGAACTCGAGAATGAGCAAGTTTTATGATCACGCAGGATAGAGTAGAACATTAATCGTGTCTGCCAACACAGCCAGCGTCGAGACGCGCACATATGTATGACGTCACCCACATTCGACATGCAACGTACACAGAAATTACATTTGTACGTGTGCTCATCGTTTAATTTTAACCAGCTTGTTTACTTAAAATAAGCTGGTTAAACGATATGCGCACGTACATGCACATGTACACATTACCACCATGCGAAATACACGTACCGATCCTATGAAATATTCTAACTTCTAAGGCTCACTTTTTATGCATCTTTATACTTTTCTTCCTGCATATTTACTATCCAGAAAGCGGGACAAAACTTCAGCAAGTGGTGGAGGAACATTAGCCTCATACATATACATGAGCCTCTCAGTGCAAGCTGCAGGGTGTCATCCATTTAATGATTCTGACGTTGAAAGTTCCATATGTGGTGTGAGATCAAACTTAACACCAGCAAAGACAAGCTCCTTGTTGGTCTTCACTACCGCAGCCCCAACATCACACACGAAAACAACGAGAGGTTTTTTTTAGAATGTAAACAATAGCCACATCTTGGTCCTTTGAGACTTTACTTAGTTAAATCAGTTGGTCTTATGGTCAAGTCCGGGTAGGCGATGAGCACTCAGCAAGCATCTTCTACGACAAAGTAGGTACAGGACTCATACTTAACACAACAGGTTGAAATACCAACAAGAAACAGAGAAGGACAAGTACCCTCAACATTAAATTTTATTCTCACCAACGAAGACTTTATGGTAGAGAACTTAGAGGAGGTTGCACCACTTTGGAAAAGTGATCACACAGGACCGGTAGGGACCCATGTGTGCAATTCTAGTACAGGTGGACATGGAGCAAGCTTGAATTACATTAAGGGCAGCTACAGCCAAATGAGACAAGAAGATTTTCATAAAGTGGCCTGGGGGACAGAGATGGATAGTCTTGACCTTGAGGAATCTTGACAGTTTTTAAGAGATAATACAACCAGGTCGTTGAAGAACATATCCCACTGAGAAGAAACTCGAGCCATCGTGGATGTGTTCTAAGGTAAAGAAATCTATCAAGACTCAGTACAGCCTGTATGGAAGGTAAAGGAAGTCTGGACATTACAAGTACCAAGATTACGGGAATACAAAAAGCAGAACAACATACAAGACAAGAAAAACTTGTATGTGGAGTACAAACTTAATATAAAAAAAAGCTCATGAAGGAGTTCAAGAGTAAGCCAAAAGCTTTCTACAGGCAGACAGAACCAGAAGGTGAACGGTGGGAGTTCCATAACTTGAAAAGGTCGATAGATCGTTAATTGCACCGGACGAGGAAGCAGCTGAGGAACTGAGTAAATTTTTCCAATCAGTCTACATCAAGGAACTAGAGGGAGGCCCCCAAAACTGGACAAGGTTTTTGATGTTGACCTGGAAGGTGTTTCATTCACCCTAGAAGTCATGATAAATTAGACAAGTTAAGGTCAAGATGTCCGGTGCCTGACAGCATACATCCTCAACTGAGTTCCGAAAGAGTGTAGCCAAAAAATTGCCACTCCACTTCTACATCATATTTAGGGAATTTCTTGATGCAGGGAAACTACCAACTGACTGGAAAACAGCAAGAGTGACACCAATTCTCAAGAAAGGTAGCAAAACAAAACAAAAAACGGGGAATTAGGGTCTCACCTGCTTCCCATGCAAGATCCTTGAAACAATCGTCAAGAACATAATATTATTACATATAGAAGAGTAAAGTGCTCTATCTCACCAACCGTATTGGTTTACAAAAGGCAAATTCTGTCTGACAAACCTGCTTGAGACAATTGCTGGAAGAAGTTACTGCAAATCTAGATCAAGGTCTGGGAGTGGATATAATTTTCCTTGACTACGGCGAAGCTTTTGATTCAGTACCTCACAAAAGGTTAATCAACAAGTTAAGAGCATATGGGTGTAGAGGCAAGATTCAACTTTGGATACAAGCCACTTTTATGGGAAGAACCCAGTCCATGTCAATGAGAAATGCAGCCTCGTCTGATGCAGATGTGTTGAGCGGTGTGCCCCAGGGTTCAGTGCCGGGACCGCTTTTATTCATCCTGTACACGATCTGCCAAGTCATGTCAAATCCGATATTGTTTGCCGACGATATCAAAATGTTCACTCCGGTTAATACCCAGGATGGTGCATCAAAGTTACAGCATAGCATTGAAGCGGTCCCAAAACTGGCTGCTTAGTTCAATGCAGGGAAATGTAAAACAATGCACTTGGGAAGGAATAATCCAGAAGTTGACTACTACATGGAAGGAATGAAACTGGATACCATTGATTAGGAAAAAGTAACTGAAATAAGTAACGATATTGTCCAAAACATTGTCACCCTCACTTGGGTGCAGTAACTAGTTGTAACGAGTTATTAATGACCGGGGTTTGTCCAGGTCACTGAAATCACCAAGGACGATCAAATTAACTTCAGGATGCTACGATTGGATAGAGTCTTTTGTTAAAAGGAGGCTTCCGTTGTTTCATCTTTTTGCTGACATTGGGATGGACTGTAGACAGTTGCAAGTAATACTGCAAGAATTTGAAAACCAAAAGGTACTATGTCAAACTGGCATGGTTTAGACACATCAATCTTAAATTTCGAAACTGTACAGAAGTTAAATTTTAATTTTTGTACATCCCATTGTCTTAAGTCTATAAATCGTTTGCAAAATGATGTATGAATGAAGCTACAGTACGAAGCTGTAGTGCACTCACAAGAACGGCTGAGGCATACTTGCTAACTCTACCGCTTTGGGCGGTAGACTACTGCTTTTCGTGCATTTTAACCATCTCCCGACTTTCTGCTAAAAGCTACTGCTTCTGATTATTTTTGTATTCAATTTACACCTGTGTCTCTGAAGTTCCACTTGTGAAACTTTTACATAATTAGCTACTTTGAAAACTGTGCTTACATTGTGAGAGAATGTGCTAAATTTGTTCTCAAAATTACACATTTTCCTGCTCTGGAAGCCTCCCAGCCCCTACCCCCGCTTGGTCGCTCTGCACCCTAGCATCTTTCCCTTCGAACTACTGACGAACATACCACTTTTTCGGTTTTCATCAGTGTTGGTAAGTATGCTGAGGCCTTGTCCAAAATGGGCTTTCAGAGTTACGGCCTTTACTATTGCGAACCTGTCTTTTTCACTTCCTATGGGCAAAGGCCTAGATGGCTAGATGCAGACGATTTGGATGCAGTCTGAGCACTCTCCGATCACCTTTTCGTCAAACAACTTTTTTTCCCAAAGAAATTGAATTTGGAATTTTAACATTTTTACACGTAGAAGAGTTAAGTCCTTTTGAGGGTGAAACTTTTTACTAACTTGGTCGAAGTGTACACTGTACTATCTTTGAGCTTTTTTTGTTACCAATAGGGGTCGAACGATTGCTGTCTAATGATATTAAATTTTCCCCCTTCTTAAATATATTCGCTGCAAAAACTTGGGTGTTAAATCCCCCCTGGACTACACCAACACTTTTCACTGGTGTTAAAAATTGTAGTGTTATTTGGTGTTACTTTTACCACCTTCAAGTGTACTGTAACATTTATAGGTGTGCAAAGTAACACCAGTGGTGTTATATTAACACCCTATGGTGTGTTCATCTGATAACACCAAAAAGTGTTGATTTTAACACCACAGATTTTGCAGTGTTTGGTATGTTCTACAATAATCAAGATGTTAAGTTATTTCCTGATATAGTGAGGGTGTTATTATGCCAGTCAATGTTAAGACCGGCAGCATATTCCGGAAACGTACAGGTGCCCTCTACGTGCACAAGAGAAAAAAAGGGCACCGGGGTTAATTTTTTGTTTGTTTTATTCAACAGCATCCTTTTTTTTTAAAGCTGACAAGTAAATATTTTCCAGGGTCTTTAATAAAGAAATGCCAATATAAAAACCTGCTATTACTTTGGTCCTTTATCATTGGAAGCGAGATGCGTATAACAGTACTACAGTAGATGTATATGTACTATGTAATATGACATTTTATAATGCTAAAACAAGGCACCCTCGGAAGGCAAAAGATAATGTGGAATGCGTATGCGTACAAGGGGGAGGGGTTGGAGCCACTGTGTACGCCATGCGTACGGGAGGGGGTCTGAAAAGTCGACATTACGGTGTGTATAGGGACGGCCCCATACTGTATGACCTTTCTGATGCATGGGCTACATTGGGGGCTTTTTATACGCTTTGGGAGGAAGAGAAATTTATAAAGGCAAAAACAAAATCGACTCTCAGTACTTTAATTTAAGAAAAACAATTTTGGCACCGTTTTTCTGGAGGGGACATGGGCCCCTTTGACCCGTATGGGATGCGCCCCAGCTAGCTAGATGCGTTTGGTGGATGTGCGCTATTGCTCAATCGTGTTGAATCTCCGATCTGAGTTTACGACGCCTAATTCAACAATAAGATCACTAAAAGACATGGTGATGCAAGGTGGCTGCAGTGGCCGGGACCGACAGAATGTATGTATGTAGGTAGCTATAAGCTTAAGGATGACACAGCGCGATGACACACTGTTTAAGCGGTACCCAAAACAGTCATGTTTGAAACTGGATTATGTTTGGATCATGTATACTTGAGTCATACGGGTAGGCCTAATCACATGAACACACAGATGGGCGTAGCGAAGGCATTGGGGGGGGGGCTTGTGCCACTGTCAATTTGCCAACTTGCCTTTACTTGGCCTACTTGTTCGCCAACCTTGTGTTGTATAAAGCAAATCCGTTGTACGCTACGTTTTGTGCTTCGGGGGAAATGCCAATGACCAACTTATATCGTTTATGTACCAACTTTGGATTCATTTGCCGATCAAAGCTCTATTTGACGACTCGAATTAATTATTGGGGGTGCCGCCCCCCTCACACACACCGACGTACACCGGTCGCTGACGCGCTTAGGTGTAAGGTACGGTGTACATAGAATAATTATGTTTGCATGTATTATAATGTTTTATGTAATACTCAAATGTAAAAATATTCCACTGCGGAGCTTACACATAATACATGCCAAGCTGCACGGTTGTTTCCTTTGATTTTTGTTTCGTGTTGCCAAACGTATGTGAATGATTTATTTTGCCTGAAAAACGTTGCTGCAGCAGTAAATAAACTTCTAAAACCAATTACAGCAACTGAAGAATTAATCAGGAACTTAACTGTTGTGGAAAATATTACAAATTATCGACATGTTCATGTTAGTGGTCAGTGCTTGTCACAGCGTATAACATTGTTGGAATCCTTCCTGGGGGATTTCAGACTGACAGATAAATTAACTTGTAAGACGCACTAAGTATACAGTGTTTATGAATACACGTCAGGTAAAGGCACTTTGAAAAACCAGTAATTAAAATTAACATCTCTCCGACGTAAAGTACGTCTCGAAACAATCTCGCTTTTCTTGATTTTTCTCAAAGCAGTGAATTCACTAAATGAAACCAGTCCGCGGAATGATGCAACAAAGTTCATGACAATTCCCCAAATTGGCCGATTTTGACCAATTGCACTACATTTAACTTCAATTTTGACGTGTGTTTTGAGAACCAGAAAGACTTTCATTTTTTCCTGATTTGTTGAAGTGAGGGTGTTTATCACGATTGTCTATGACAACTTATTTTAATACAGGTCTGTGGATCCATACACGCAAGCACTTTGCTTGTTTTGGACCACCATCGAACCTTAAGGCCCTCCAGGTGGAACAACGAAATATTGGAAGGGCGCCCCCTTTTGCGAAAGTCCGAAAGCTTAAGACACGCTGTTGTGAATTTCAGTCGAAATTGAGTCCGTTGTATTGATGCTTAGAAACTGTTTTCACTCGAAACACAACTTCGACGAACTTTTTGCAAAACTAAGAAACTTGTCGTACATTATCAAGTGTACGACTATAGACGGCGTTATGATACATGTACTTAATACAATGGGAGCAGGTAAGTGAGCTGCAAAGAAATATTTGGAGAGGGCAATCAAAAAGGTCTCCCTAGTTATTTCAAAACATTGAGCGAGTGCAGCACATGCGGAGATGAATGATTTAGAGGCTGTAATACAAGTTAATTTATCAAACCGTTTCTGGATAAGTTGGCTTTGACTGGAAATACTGCGCCCCACATACGGTAGCTGTTAAATAGCTTGAGGATTTTGCCATGTTATCGCCGGACACGCATGGTATGGTAGGATTATAGACCGTGTCTGTAACACTTGGCTGCGCGGCTTTGAATTCCGGACAAATCTGTGCCTGTAGCTGCAGTCAGTTCTCATACACTTGAGCGTGATTTCAAACCGCAGTCGAGTTATCCGTACATGGTCATATAGAAAAAAAAATGTCAGGAGGAGGTAGATAAACTTTGGGCCGGGTGCGGTGCTTACGGTCCCCCGATAGCAGCCGCACAGGGTCAACTTCAACCTTTGGGCAATTTTTTTCTGGTGGCAGGATTGGTTTTGTACACAGTATCGGGGAAGATCGACAAGTGGTCGAAAATACTCGTCGCTAGAACTTGCCCAAGTTTGAAGGGCGTCTCGCTTTCATCTCCCTTGCTCCGAAGCTTGGATCAAGATTGATTATAGTATCCTATTCGTCAAGTTGGGTTTAACCATGGATGAAGGTTGGCTTTTTTCCAATAAAAAGTGAAACACGCAACCAGGCCACTTTAGTCTTCATGTAATGTGAGGCAATTAGCAGGGACAGTTCTGCCGGGGGGGGGCTGGAGGGGCTTCAACCCCCCCCCCCTGCAAAAATAAAAAGAAAAGAAAAAAGGGTGGAAAATATTGGATTCGTAGTAGAGACAGTTAAAAGGTGACGTCACGTTCGATGGGTCCAGCCCCCCCGGCCTTACTGAAGCCGCGTCCAAATTAGCTTTGGTAACTTGCTTGAACCGCTACATGTGGGTTCCATGGTACAGGCACATGCCATGTAACAAGCTTTACTGGAGGGCCAGCTGTCATTGTCAATCTCTGCTATGCCAACTCTGTGTACAGCTAGACTTTTGTCACGTCTACTTTCATCTTCTCACATTTGGCAACTTAGTCTATTCTTTGTTAAAATCTCCGTCAGAAGTCGATAACGACAAGCCCGATAAATCATGTAAATCTCAGAAAACATGTATCCGGGCGTAGCTCACAGCACACTTGAAATTTGCGTGACCTGACAAACATGCCATTCCTATTAAGCGCCTTGAATGAAGGCCACAAGGCGACGGCAAGAACCGCGCCGGATGACCACGTAAGCAACGTGCTTCCAGGATGCCCTGCATAACAGTCAACCAGCTACTGAGCTACTGACTGTGACCGGTCCCCATGCCCAGTTGGCAAACAGATCGCCAACGCTGAGCCTAGAGCATGCTCCCAGATCTTCATCTCCCTAGCTTTGACGACAGGACACTCTCCTCCCCCCATAACGTCCCTGGAAGCTCCACACAACCCCTCTACATGAAGTGCTGACCGATCTGTCTTGACAAGTCGGCTTTTGCAAGCTTTGTCCGAGCATGGAGGAATAAGTCCGAGTTTGCATTTTAACCAGTCACAGTCAACCAGATCACAGTACAGCGTACTCCAAATAAATTACATATCCGGCTTGCACTGAACACAGCAGTAAGAGTTAGTCAAGCACCAAAGCGGTAGCCTAGACCTAGAGAGTAGCGTCACTGGAAAGTGTGGATGAATCGAGCACTGACTGTTTGAGGATTAAAGCTTGTGGCGTCTGCAGATCAACTTGGTGATAAAAAGCCCCATGACTGAGTGGTGGAAGGTGCTAAGCCGTATTCAGAGTGAAACCCCACCGAGGACAAACACTTCGTACCTGTGTCAATTGCCACACGACCGGCTGACTGGTTTGACTGACAGTTGGAAGAGATTGTATCAGGCAACTTGATGGCTTTTCATATTGAAACGGCCATGACGGCTCCACTCTTTTAATCCCAAGGACACACAGGCCAAAGCCACTGTAGCGCAAATTACTTCAACCACAAATTAATGCTACCCGGAAAACACTAGCCTTCGTTTCTTGTTTCTTCAGAGCCTCTTCAACATACATCGGACATATAGGTGCAGATGGTTTGCTCCAATCACTGCTGTTGATGGTCAAGATAATGAACAACGCTGCCGTTGCCTCTCGCCGTCTCAGTTTTGCGCAAAGCCCAGATCACCTGTGTGTCATGTGACGGAGCCCTGCCTGCACGCGCTGTCTGCACTTTCACCGTCTATTAGCCATACACCAGCCTCAGCAGTTGGGGAGATATAAGATCGCATTCCACTGGAGCATCGTAAAACTTCACAACGCGGGGCTAGCGGCTTATCATCCAGCCAGCCGGACAGTCCACCAGGAGACCGCCGGGAGTTTTGTTTCTATTCTATTTGCAGTAATTGTCCCTGTGGAGTTGTCATTCTAAAGTGAAGTCTGCCCATTCACTCCAAGCCTCGTAGAAAGTGCACATCTAACTTACATCTCACCGCTGCGTTTGACTTGACTTATCATTATCAGCATCACCACTAGAATTATGGTGGGCCTAGGGGTGCAAAACCTGAATCTGCACGACCGGGGGTTTGCCCTCTGCATGTGTTTACTTCCCTGTTTGATCCTGTTGGTCCTACACGTTCACTTGGGTTCTGCTCACGATCCTAAAGATGGGATGAAGTTGTTCCGTCGCCATCATATTGAAGGCAAAGCAGAGGACGAACCAATCTTCTGGGAATCAAGCTTCACCGAAGAGTTTGCCGATCCATGTAAAGCTGGTGAGAATTCCAAAATTGTGGTTTTGAGGGTTTGAGCATACGTGGGTAAAACTACTCTGTAAATCTTTTTATGAACCCACGTTTATACCACGACAAGTTTATTGAAATTCGTTTAAACCATGACATACTTATTGAAATGCATTTAGGAATATGTTTAAATGCGCCAAGGTTGTGAAATCCGCTTAGCAGTTAAACACATTCCTGAACGCAATTCAATAAACATGTCTTGGATTAAACACGTTAAAAAAGTGGGTACAAAAAGTGTTTAGAAATGTGTTCAAACTTAAAGCGCCTTTTTATTGTGTATGAAAAACCAATCTCAATACATGTAAAACAAAGGATTTTCAGAAAGTTCATTCATCATTTCTCCATGTAGTCTGACGTGTTTAACCTAAAATCTCGTATAATTTTTGTGGTTGGGTCAGTGGTCACAAAGTTGATTCGACAGATGCCATACGATAAATATGAATTAAGTTAAGCGACAAGATCTCGTCCAGTTTGGTTACGATTTAGGAAACTGGTTTCACAGAGGACATTGAGGGCAAGACTTACCTAAATATTTATACCGTCGATATATGTACGGTGTTGACAAACTCATGTGACAAAAGACAGCGCGTATAGCGAAAACAAGTGCAAGATATCAAGGCAAAATTATTTCAAGAGTGATGATCTGAGTGATAGCGATAAAACTGAAATGATTTCCATGACTGTGCCTAGCCTATGGACCGTCATGGCCATAATTAATGCATAAGTTTACAACAGGCGAGCTCAAATTAAACTTGGAGAAGTTAACTGAAGGCTTGAACTTTCAGCGTCGTAACTTTTCTCACCTGCAGCAGGGCGACTTTTATTATATAAATAAATAGATGATTCAAGTATGCGAATCTTTATTTTTAAAGCTGTACCGGTGAGTTCTTAGCCTTCTGAATTTATGATGCCCGTAAATATTTCCCGCGACACTGCTTTGACAAACAGGTTTAATATCAAACTGAAGAAAATAGCCTACATGAACATGGGTAATGCAGCCAACATTTTCCGAGTATACCGACACAAACCCAGGGCGTAAAGTCGTTGCTTGCTAAACGCACCTTTTAATTTTACAATGTGTTTTGGGGGTATTTTAAGTCGCAAAAGATTCCTTTTGCGACTTAAAATACCCCATGCGCCATAGATTGCGGTACATTTTCAGGCATTCGGCAAAAAATTCGAATGAACAGTTTTTATTATGGGCAGATAGTAGATGTAAGAGAAAACTGTCTTATAAGAAATTAATCGCCTAGCTTGCAAACTAATGTGCCAGGACGTGAAGGTAACTGTGACTTCGGAGGTCAAGAGGAACTCTGTCAACTATTTCCGGTTGTCTGGTAGACCTGTAACCTCGTTTGTCGTGACTTCTGGCAACATTGACATCAGTCACTCGAGGCAACGAGCACAGGAGTTGGGGTGGAAGGCGATTGATCTATGGGCCGATTAATTTCAACACTATGGTTCGTCTGGGCATAGACCGATGTGCTCCAAGCAACTAGTTGGCTCCACTTGGGGCGCTCTCCTTGCTCTCTTTAGTTCAAACTTTGTCCACGCTGTGAGACTATTATGTGGTCTTTATCAGCACTTAAATTTAAATACCCTGATGGAAAACAACGTGGTTATAACTTCTGTTCAATTTTTAGCACTATTTCTGGTCAGCCGTCTCGGTAATTGAACCAATGTTGGCAGCACAATTTGCGCAATTACGCTTTTGAGGGACATCTTGACACTGACATAGGCCTACGTGTCGTTGACTTCAACACGATTTGCAATCCTGTAAAACCCAATATCGCGAAGGCGCCCGGCAAATATGTGTGTGAGAGGAATAAGGTTGGATTTGATCGTTTAAAATGGCGTTTCTTAAACATTGAACGCTGAAATTCAGAGCCTTTGCCATAGAATATCAACCTCACACTTCGTTTAAACGGTATTTTGTATGCTCAGAGTTAGACGTGCTATTCACAACATGCGCTCGAATTCGTTGCTCATGGAGCCCATTTAGACGAGGACTATATGACCAACACCACATTCCAGATACATTCCCCGTGAAAATAAAAAATGACTTAGATAATTAATGGAGTAAATTACACCGGATGATGCATTTGTAGATAAGCTTGTATGCGAAGTCATTAACTATTATCAAACAAGAGTATCATTGTGTTTGACTATTTGACCCATGTTGTGAAGTTTCTGTACAGAAGATCCCAACGGTTGTTCAAATTATTTCGTGAACGTTGTCATAGATCACCTCAAAGTCTTACGTGCGACCCCCCCCCCATTTCCCCTTGACCCATTCAACATGTGCACATTAGGCCTTGTGTAATGCCTTTGAGTTTAAACTACCAAGTTTTTCTTGGTAGCATTATGACTGCGGAGTTGTCAGGGAACGCTGGGGTTTTGACCTTCAAAGTCCACATTATGGCCCTCACATGGGGATGATAGATGCAAGAATGAAAAGGTCTTCTACCTCAGGGTTTCGAATGAGTTTATTGCCTGACAAACGGTGATGTATGCCGCTTTGGGCTTTTAAACGGATTGATAAAAATGCACAGACTTCCCTTTACTTTTTGAACTTGAAGTTTGGTATTATGACTTTGTTGGGTACTGTTTTCCTTCAGAGGTGAGGGTTAACAAGGAAGGTTGTTGATGGAAGTTCTACCAGCGTCAGTTTTACCGTCAGTTGCGGAGCCAGGCTCTGATTGGTCAAGCCTCGACGACAACTAAAAAAAAACCAAAAAGCTTAACTTATCTGACAGGACCACCGATACCAGATACAGAGCAAACCCACACGCGTATACACGCCCATGCTGGCACTATTATGGCAGTTGTGGAGACTACGTTTTAATTGTATTACAGGAATATATTCGTAACTTATGGGGACTACCCTATGTTCCAATCAATTATCCCCCAAGGTGGGGCCGGTTTGAATACACTAAAAAGTGTTCTCTTGACCCCTGAATCCCCCCAACTAACGAAAACTGTCTTTCAGTGGAAATACATGTTAACACAGCAGCACGATCCCCGGTTGTCCAGCCATCTTATGATCCCCGCCTCGACTTTTCCAAACATCTTGGCGGGATAACTATTTCGGGACATATCAGTACTGTATCACCGCCTCTGCTATGATGGATCTTATTCTCTTTAAATGCTTGCTTTATGAAATAAAAACTGTCGACAAAGTACTTGTAGGCTAACGATAATTCTACCAGATACCGAGTTCCACTCTGAAAATACACAGTACAAATTCCTCCCTCAGTGCCCCTAAAGAGCATTTCAAGGCCAACAAAATTCTGTCGACAAATACCGGTTACTTCAACTAAGAATAACATTTGTGGAACTAATTTCATAGTATATAGGTTGATTAAGTCTAAGGTCATTCACAACATTGTTCATATGGCATGCCACCTGCAAGTTGTCAGACACCTTCTCGGAATCTCAGTAAGTTGTTGGACCACGTGGCCAAAGCAGTTTAATCACATGACTTAAACCCAAGTGTCACATGACCTCGTTTTCTCTGGTTCGTCGTTTCGGACGCGACGGGCGGTTGCGGATTTTGAAGTCCAGCGATTCCACTTCCAGAAACCGAACTTTGCACCAGAATGGATTAATCGGACATTCTCTTAGCCTTCTCTTTTGTTGGTGGGTGTTGTAATAGAGCCTGAAAGTAAAAGGTCACGCAGCCAGCTTCCGGAACCCTCGCCTCGCGCGGTCCGCCTGTTGGGCCATCACGTTCAATAATTTTTGGAAGAATAACTCCCAACTGAAACCACCCCATGAAACACTAATGTTGGAATTTTACCGTTGTCTTCCCCAAGTAATACTTACGAAAGTCATCTGGACATGGGTAAAAGACAAATTTCATTAACGACCTTTCACGACCGGCAATATTGTACCTAGGTCTCCTTGAATTGTTCATGCACGTTTGTTTTCACTCCCCGTGCTTACGTGAAAACGAGATTGTACAGCGTTACAAAGATTTGCCTACCTGCAGTCGATGGGTTCCAGATTCTGTTGAATTGACATTAAAAAATAGATAAGAGATCAGAATCTTTCGCCAAAACAGATTATTGCTTTAACTTTATTACCTTATAAATTAAAAAAGACAAATATTTTGGTCTGTTTTACAGACAGACTACCATAAAATTTCAAACTGTAAATGTTCATCTGCGTACGAGATTGCCGCACTGGACTGTTCTTCATGTATTTTAGATTTTGGGAAGTGATGGGTCAATTTTTGACAGGATATTTCTCTTTTAGGTTAGGTAATTTTTCATTCTCTATAAATTGATACACCAGCAAATATTTTCCCAAACCCTTTTTCCGAGTTGGGTTTTATTAAGAAGTAACTGAATGAAAAAAACATTACAGATTCTAATATTTGCATGTTATTTTTCCTGTCCAAAGGTTTCGGAAGTGCACCATTGGGGTAAACTTTAAAACTGTTTGGTACATACATGAAATCATGCACTTAACTTCTCATGAGAATATAACATAATATTTAAAAGGTTACATTCAGTCCTAAGTACGGTAGGCCTACAGTACCTTCAAAAATTAAAACTACCAGTAGGCCTAGTTAACATTTTGGTTAATGAGTAGGCCAACTCAGTGTACAGTGCTTATGTCACTGAGGAGACGGTCAACGAACACCAAACCTGACCACAGCCAGTTGTGTACTGCGATCGTCGTTTCAAACGTTAGCAGCACCTTTTAACAATCAATTTGTGATGATATTTAGTTCATTATTTGGGTCACATGGGTCAGCAGTTCCAAGATTTCGTTGTCAGGCTTCTATTAAATTTTATTGGGCCAGCATATGCGTACATCAGTACGCAAGCCACAGTAAGCGAATGCGAGCAACTCTGCGTTGCATGCAGTTGTAATTGCTAGGCACCAGCCACTGTAACCGCGACCGTTAGATATAACCCATGGATCTCTGAATCTGGTAGTTTGTGAAGAGAATTGAAAGCCCTCTAAGTTACCACCACGTTTTGGGTGTTCTGTGTTTTGTTGTTATTTGATTCTGCATCATCATGGCTATTCTTCCAAAATGTACAATTTCATTGTCACTGTTTTCATGAATGAACAGGAGTTTCAAATTTTTCTTTTCATTTAAATTTGTCCTCTTCTTCACCACTTTACATTTAAAAGATCAGTGTCTTAATTACATGAACGATGCAAAGGCCAGTGTAGGCCTATCAACAATTGCATGGGCACTTTCACAGATGGCAACACAGACACAAACAATACTATCTCCTGAATGAGCACAAATCATGAGCATGGAAAAGCATAAAATTGCAGGTCAGCTATAGTTAACACTTTCACTAGTTAATAAAGGGACAAGCATCTTTGATTCATTCTCAGCTGTGTACACATGAATATGATTATTGATGAATACTTATTGCAGAATATAGTAAAGAACTGTGTTATAGATCAGCTCAGATTTTCAGTGTCAAAAGGAAGGGCATCATTATCAATTTATTTTTAGCAAATTAATTTCATTCAGAGTTAATCAGATGTGGTAGCCAGAGACTGTCATTTTGAATGTATGTGGAATGTGGAGGTCACTGTGTAAAAAACAAGCATACTACCAGGCCCCCAAAAGTTTTTAAGTTCCCATCATCCTGTTTTCACTTTATACTCTGAACATGTAAGTGATTACGTACCTCTTATTTGGCTGTTCATTACATAGAATTGTACAACTGGGTCTTTACTGAAATATAACATAAATACACTTTTAAGTATTTTCTGGTGTTGGTTATGAAAATGATTAAATACCATATGTTGTGCTTATTTTAACATAGATGGTTTCCTTGGAGATATTGCCCTGACAGAGGAGGATTACCAACGAGAAGTCCGACGATACAAACAGAGTCAAGGAATCCAGAAGAAAACAAAGGATCACCAGAACATCCAATCCGCCAAGGAGGAGAGACGACTTGCCAAGGAGAGACGAAAATTAGAGAGGAAGGAGAAAAAAGCCCTCAAGGCGGAGAGGAGGAAGGAACAAAGGCATTCTCATTCAGCACCAATCAAAATTGATCAAGGTGAGTGTTTACTTTTTAACAGAGTCAGCTCTTTGTAAACTGCTCTCCTTTAGCTGTCTTCATTAGAAAATACATGCAGTTTCTCAATTTTTTTCAATAATCTATATAACAGATTATTGAAATTATTTCTCTCCCTTTCTTTGGAAATACCAAAGTAATATTTTGACATCCAGATTTCATCTCAGAACCATAACTGTCATCTCAAAAACAAATTTTTGAGTCAAATGACCAATTTTCTAAGTAATTTTTCTAATCTACTTTAACAAAGTTCAGACAGGCAAAGATCAGACAGTCTTAAATTGGATCACAACTGGCCTGGATTCAGTTTAAACATGTCCAAAACATAGTTCGTAACAAATCCAAGAGAGTACACAGTGATTTCATCACAGACCTCTTCAGAAAACGCAACGATCCTATGTCTTTTGTCAAGTCCAGATGGCCCTGATGGCATAAGTGTTCAAATGTTGAAACTTGTGTGACCTGGCATTGTTCCTGTCATTCCTGATTTTTACAATCATACACTTCTGACCACCGTGACCGATTGTCTCCCCAAGTCTTGGAAACATGCAAATGAGATAACAATGTTTAAATGTGGTGAGACTGTGAGAAATTCAACTTTCTCACTACCACCCTGTTTCCTTGACACCCATCATCTGCAAAGTCCTCGAAAAGATTGTAGTTGGACAAGTTATGGATTTCTCCGTGTACAACAGACTTTTATCTGACCACCAGCTTGGCTTTATTCCTGGAAGATCCTGCACTACAGCCCTGATGTTAGCCAGCACAGAGTGGGTTCAGTCCTTGGCTGCTAAAGTTCCTTCTATTGATGTCATCAGCCGTGACATTGATGACTTCAGCCGTGCATTCAACATGATATGCCCCAGTACACCATTACGAAAGCTGCAACTGTGTTATGATACAAAAGGTTCTGCTCTCTAGTGGATTAAGTCCTTTGATTCACACTGCATGCGGCATGCCGTTTACAGAGGAGAGAATTCAAACTGGCTACTTGTTTGGCTACCTATTAGTAGCTACCTGATCTTGGTCTACCTGTCCTCGCGTCTTGTACAGTATGCTGACGATACATTCCTTTTCAGGAATGTTACGTCAGACCATCCAGATCATCTGCTGCAGGAGGACTTGAGTTCGATCTCTAAATGGGCCAGCCTTAATTGTTTACATCTCAACACAGATACCATAAGTGCAACGTAATACCTGTAACTCGACGACACCTGTCTAAACCAGTCTACACCTTAGTTGGAACTCCCCTCGAATGCATCAACTCCATCAAACTCTTAGGTTGCTTTTTTTCAAAGCAATCTTTCCTGGGACATGCAGGACCAGTCGGTTTCATCCAAAATACAACTGGTTGATTTGCTTCATTCGCCTTGTTTCTGGCAACGCTTCTTCAGATATATCATTTCAACTGATAGGTCACTTGTCCAACAAATTGTCAACTACTGTGCACCTCTTTGGTGGATCCATAACACAAAACACATGAACTCAATAGCAACTGTTCAACGCAGAGCAACTCAGATGATTCACAGGCAAACTGCTTTGGAACAAGCATATCAGGATACAATTAAGCTTTCTGAATTTCATGTCATTTGCAGACAGAAGGTTGTTTTCAAACATAAGCTTTATCATTAAATTGATGTTCAACAAGCCCAATTTTATGTCAAAAAGACATGTTGCAGGTTAATACTCGTCATCCAGAGCTTCTCACGTTTCATCATTTAAATCCCAGAACTGATGGTTACAAATATTCCACTCTTGTGAGTTTTCCAAAATTGTTTCCCGAAAAAATGTGATGACATGTATGTGTATACGAAACAGTGTTCTTATTGCAGGCTATGGGTCTTTTCATTCTGAACTGAAGGGGATGTTAATGCCATCTTGGGTTTTTGTGTTTTCATTGCTGTCACTGATGTTTTAATGCTTTCCCTGATGTTTGTTTTGGACAGTATCCTTTTCAGTTTTTTGGGAGAACTTTTATCTTAGTTTCCTTTGGGATCTTTGTGTTTTAGTTTTTAGTTTTCCTCTGTGGTTGATGCACTGTAAGCTGAGGGACATTTTTCTCTCATTTTTTAAAGCTTTTTCTCTGATATTTGTTTTGTGACCCATTTCTGCTTTTATTCCTTGAGTTTGTTCTTAAATGGGGTGTCTTGCTTTCTGTTTTTGTTTTTGATGGGTATCCTTTTTCCTGCTTCACTGTTTTTGATTGTATCTCCTTTGGATTTCCAGCTGTTATTAGGTTTATTTGGGGTTGTATATAAGCAATTTTATGTGTTTTATTTGCATACTTTTATGTCATTTATTTTATATTTATTTGTTATCATTTTTATTGTGTTTCATTATTTATTTTTTGGGCCATTTGTGTTAATTGTCTTTTTGCAAACTTCAAGTCAACATTAGCATTATTCAGGTTGTGAACTGCATGAATAATTTATATGGTTTCATTTCTCTCTCTTTTGGGGGAGGGGGTCCCTATTAATGTTTTCGATTTGTGTGTGTGTTTCTTTTTTTGTCAGCTTGTTATTTTTCGCCCTTTTCTTTAGGATTTGTACTTGCTTATTGAAATACATTTTTTCTTCTGTTAAATTGTTTTGGGGTGTTTTTTGCTTTCTGTTTTTGTCTTGTTGGCTTTGTATCTCACATTCTGTTTTTTTCCCTTTCATTTATTATTGTCAGGGATCTGATCATACACATCTTCTGATTATAGTTTTGACCTTTGTATTTCCAAGACAGCCCCTGAATAACTTTTGTTTTTGTGTCTGAAGATATAAAATAAAAAAATAAATACATGAATAAAATAAATTGCTAAGGCCACTTAAGTGTTTAGTGTATGTTCACCTGGAGAACAGAGAACAGTATAATACTGGAGAACGGTATTATAAGACCTTTCAGTCTTCGGAATAGGATGTAACAATGGACATTAGTATAATATAGAGTACATACGTGTACCTAGGCCTAGATGTACTCAAGGCCTGATCTAATTTCCTTTGAAAATAATACATTCAGTGACATTCACACAAAATGTAAATCTACATGTAGATTTCTTAAGATTTGCTAGCCAAGCCTTGCAAGCATTGACAGCATCATTTTTGTTGTTAATGAGCTGAATAATTTCTAGGGCTACATGTAAATCATCTTCATTAATAATCATAATTCGTAAGTTTTGTGGTGAGCCACACGTACCTGCCCATAAGAACATCAATCTCCATGGCCCGAGAACCTGTAAAAACAAATTTGTAGGACATAAACATTTATAAAGTAACTGAGAGAGCTCTCTTGAGGCTAAATTTTGACTGTCCATCCTTCTGTTTGTTCCTGAAAGGATTTCTCCCAGGTCCCATGCATATTTTGCATGGATATGAGTATCCCTCTGGGAACCGGGTAAGCACTGCAGATATTATCATTAAGATTAGGTTGTTTCTATTGACAGATCAAAGATAGCATGAGCTACTTGGTGAATTAAAGAGATCTTTACCTGAAAGTACATGTATACTAGGCCAGTTTCACTGGTGCAGTAATACTGGTATTTTTGACTCCCAATATATAATTTACCGAAGTTAATTCTTTTCAGCCCTTACCTCGTATGTGAACCAAATCAACCAGTTTCTTTGCAAGGATGGGGCATTTCAAAATATTTGATCATCATTTTAAAATTTGGTACAAAATATTCCTCTTAACCCCTTGTCTGTATTTCTCCGAAAACTTTCAATCTGTTGCAGTGTTTCCCGTTTTTCCTGAGCTTAACTTGCAGTGGGAATTTCCTTTGATAGACATCAGTTTTTTCATAGTCACTTATCAGCCTTGAAAACAAAAGATAGGCATGCAGCCTTTCCTCAAATTAACTGATTGTCCTCATTTCAAATCCCTAGCTTTGTTACCAGTACCTTTGATGCATACATGTACCGGTACACCTGTACAGTATGCCATGAACAGGTAGGAAAGAAAACGCAGTGGCCATCTGCCCCTCCTCACCATTTTCCTCTCTGCCCATTTCTTCTGCTCTTAGCTGGTTATAGTAATACAATAGACACAAATGGTCACCTAGATAACAAATGAATATGCCCTGCTCGTATGTTTGGCTGTTGCCTTTATTTTGCCCCTCCCCACCCTTTTGTCATAATATTAATTCTAGATCTGCCACTGTGCTTGGTCTTGGAACTTGATTTATTTTGTATGTCATTGGACAGAATATACATGTAGATCTTGAGTAGATCATAAACTATGAAATGGTCTACAATTCTCTGAAGTTTCTACCATACTTGTTGCACACTGGGAGCACAGCTTGTGAACCTCTTCAAGTTCATACTACTGCAGGACATATTCTCTGCTGCCACAAATGCAACGTCATTGATTCAGAGAAACACATGTCAAAGGGTAGGGGACAGATCTGCAGCCTTGATTTACTGTACCAGATCTGAATGAGTTATCTTGCTGCAGTCAGACCACATGATTTTGGACTGAGCATGTACTGCAAAGCAAAGCTGCTTTTACCACTACAGCAAAAATACAGTGACCTTCACACCATCCCCCTGTTAAGTTGTGGTTAATCAGGGCTTGGAACTCCAGGATTTGATAGGTTATGAAAGGCTAATCCCTCACAAATCTACATGCCTGCTTATCAATATCAGATGTTGCGCTTTCAGTAGAGGGTAGTGAATATTTGTCTTTGGCTCATGATGGCTTCCTTCACAGCAAGGAGTCACTTCTCCGAACCCAAGCACTTGCACTTTTTCCTCTCAACAAATTACGCACCTACAAGTCAATTAGTCTGAAGAAGGAAGATGTGACTTCAGGAGGGAGTTTACCAAATTAGATTTGCCGTGACCTCGGACTTGGCAGTGAGTGTGTGTAGCTGGGGGGGGGCACTGACTCTGAGCATTATCATTCCTTTGATAAGTCCTGTCCTCAAGTGCTGAAATGCGGAAGGCAGTTTCTGTCCTCAATTCCTTTTTGTTGAAGGAAGATTTAAGACATGACCATTGGTT